TTAGTTAAAATAGCTAAGTTAACTAAGAGAATTCCTTTAGATAAACTAAAAGAAGAAGACTTAAACTACTTAACTATATTTCTTCTAAGTTAACTAGATAATAGCCTAAGATTAACTATAATAAGGTAACTATTCCCTTAGAAAAAGTATATATAGATACTCTTAAAATAACCTTTACTTCTATTAATAGATATAACTATACTATTCTGTTTATAAATAATTATTTTAGCCTTAGAGAAATAGAATTCTCTAAAACTAAAGAGGATATAATTAATATCTTAAAAATAAGCTAGAATACTATAAAAATTAGGGGTATAATTATCCTAAGCGTTTACGCTTAGATAATAGAACTAAATTAATATAGGGGAATTAACTACCTATATTAAAGAAAAAGGCATTATTTTAGAGCCTTCTATACCTTATACACTAGAATAAAATAGTATAGTAGAAAGAACTAATAGGGCTATTCTAGATAAGTCTAGAACTATTATAGTAGTAAATAACTTACCTAAGTTTCTATAGGATATAATTCTTAAAGAAACTACTAGGTTATTAAATTATACTACTATAAAACGCCTAGATAAGACCCTATAGAGGCTTTTCTAGACTATTATTATCCTAATAAGGATAATAAGCTAGACTTATCTAATATATATAAAATAGGCTCTAAGGTCTTAGTATATAGACCTAGAGAAAAGCGTATTTAGTTAAATAAACTAAATACCTATATAGAAGAGGGTATTTATTTATCTATAGAAGAAAATAATATATATACTATATATATTCTTCTAGGCCTTATAGGTCCTCTATAGTAAGGACCTTATATATTAAATTTATAGAAAGTACTATAAGAGAGGAAAAAAAACTACTATTCTTCTAGTACTTTTATAAATAAATAAATTATTTTTTTCTAATATAGAGGTTAATATACCTTTTATATCTAAAGAAGAAAAAGATAAATATAAGGCCTATAATAATACTATAGAATATAACTATAGTATATAACCTCTAGAGCCTACTACTCTAAAATAAGCTCTAGAAGGCCCTAAAAAAGACCTCTAGCTAGAAGCTATATATAAAGAACTAGTAACTATTATCTAAAGAGGTACTTTAAAAGCAGTAGAACCTAAAGAAGCATATAAGTCTTCTAGGGTACCTTTAACTACTAAATAGGTCTTTAAGAAAAAATTTAATATTAATAGTAATATTAATAAATATAAGGCTTACCTCTGTATTAGAGGTTTCTAGTAAAAATATAGGCTTAATTATTTCTAAACCTTTGCTATAGAAAGTAACCCTACTACTTATAGGGTATTATTAGCTTTAGTAGTAGCCCTAGACTAGGAAATCTAATAAATAGATATAGTTAGAGCCTTTTTATATAAGGACTTAGAAGAAGAGGTCTATATAGACCCTTCTAATATCTATTTATCTAATTTCTTTATTAAATATCCTAATCTAAATACTATAGGTTAAGAAAATAAAGATTAGATATTATTACTTCTTAAGGCTTTATATAGTCTTAAATAAGCTCCTAGGCAATAGTAGTTAAAAATAAAATCTATATTAAAGGATATAGGTTTTATATCTTTAAAGTTAAATAAAGCCACTTATTATAACTAGGATAAAAATAATCCTTGTTATATTATTACCTACGTTAATAATTTTCTTATACTTAATAAAAATATTAAGTATATAGAAAATATTAAAGGTAAAATCTCTAAATATATAAAGATATAAGACCTAGGAGAAGTTTCTAAGTTTTTAGGGCTATATATAACTAGAGATAAATCTAAAAGGTCTATAACTATCTCTTAAGCCTACTATATCTAATAGCTTCTAGAAAGGTTTAACCTATTAGAAGTAAAAATAAATAATATACCTATATTAATAGGTATATTAAATAGCCCTCTAGGTAATAAGATAAAAGGATATACTCCTTCTAAGGACCTATTAAAGGAATATTAATAACTTATAGGTTCTCTTATATACACTATATTTATAACTAGGCTAAATATAGCCTATAGTGTATTCTTTACTTCTTGTTACCTTTATAACCCTATAGAATTCCTACTTAAGTAAGGAAAAGGTATATTAAGATATTTAAAAGAGACTATTAATTATAATATTACTTATAAAGGTAATATAGATTATAATAGCTTTAATAATACCCTTAACCTAGTAAAATATACTAATTCTAACTAGGCAAGTTATAAAAAAACTAGAAAATCTACTTCTAGTTATCTTTTTACTTTACTTAGAGGGCCTATTAGTTAGAAGTTAAAAAAATAGTTAACTATCTTTCTATCTACTACTAAGGCTAAGTTTAATAGCCTATAGGAAGCTATTAGAGAGGTAGTCTAGTTAAAGGGCTTATTATCTAAAATAAGGTATAATATAACCCCTATTACTATTAAAATAGATAATAATATAGCCTTAAGCTTAGCCTATAACCCTAAATATTATTAGAGGACTAAGTATACTGCCTTATATTACTATTATACTTGTTAAGAGGTTAAAAAAGGCAATATAGAAGTAAAATATATACTTACTTCTTCTATACCTACTAATAGCTTAATAAAACCCTTTTCTAGGGTTAAATTTTAAGAATTTATTAAGCTAATAGGCTTATATAATAAAAATAAGCCTATATAATATACCTATATATAGGTATATTTTTCTTAATATTCTTAGGATTTTTTCTTAATAAGTTATTATGCTTATTAAGACATGTCTCTAGATATTGTATTCTAGTCTAGGGTACTTTTTTCTACTTATTTTACTCTATAATAGAGTAAAAGAGGGAGTGTTAGAAGTATAAGAACTAAGAGTATCTCTTATACTCTTAATACTTCTTTATCTTATATTTCCTTTATTAAAGAGGTTATATATATATAAGATATATATATATATAATCTACGAACTTAGTAGATTAATATATATATTAATTACGTAAGCATGTCTAATTATATAATTACTAGAAGATAGAAGAAGGTACTAGAATGTCTAAGAAACCTCCTCTTAACACTATCTCTTTAACAAGGTTACTACTTTAAGTTAGGGTTATTTAACTAGGGTTATTAAGTTACGTAATCTTAGGTTAATTTATAAGTAGCTTACGCAAGTATAGAATATTCTAGTAAGCTAGATATATCTATATAAGGGCTAGATTTCTTCCTGTTTCTAGTCTATCTTATTCTCTCTCTAAGTAAGCAAAAACAAAACAGTTAGTAATAAAATAATAAGACTAACTATTATACTCTCTTTATATTTATATCTTTATATCTCTATATTTACCCCTATTATCCTATATTCTTGCTTCTATAGGATATATCTTTATATAAGAGATATACTCTCTTATATACTCTTAGGCTATTATTCTCTCTAAGAGACCTAAGCCTACCTGTTATACTAACACTTTCTTCTTGTTTATCCTAGGAAGTTATTAGTAAAAATAGCTTCTTTAGATAGTAATAAAGGTTATACTACTATTTATTATACTTTAGTATAAGTATATTAATTATAAATTTAATACCTCTCCTTTTTTTTAAATAGGTAGAGGATTTATCTATAAATAGTAGTAATTTTTAGGTATAAATAGCTAAATAATTCTCTAAGAATTCCTAGAGAATTCCTAGAGAATTCCTAGAGAATTCCTAGAGAATTCCTCTGCCAATGTTCCTAATATTCCTAGGGCATTGGCCAGCCAGTGGCTAGTTAATATCCTATATATTATAAGGTAAATCCTCTATAGAATAAGTATTTTATAGTGTAATACCTCTAGTAGTCTATACTTAGCCTTAGTAGTCTCTATAGCTTATTAGCTATAACTAGTATAGCTATTATAGCCTATAGTCTTAGTTACTTTATAATATAGTTAGGTTATTAAAATATAACTTAGCCTTCTAACTAGGTGTTCTAGCTAGCCTATTCTTATATCTATATAATACCTAAGGTATTACTAAAGGCTTACTAACTAATTACTAAAATCTTATCTTTAGTATCTTACTTATTAACCTAGGGGACTAATATTCTTATATATTAAGATTATTATAAAGGTTATTTAATATAGTTTCTATTTTTAGTAATTATATACTAAGATATATTAGTAAATATAACTTGTATTTACTTTATATTTCTTACCTAGTACTATATAATATATATTAGTGTATATACTAAAAATAGATTTCTAAAAACAAGTATAGAAAAGTAGGGCTATTTTCTAAAAAGAAAATAAAAAATATTAATAAATTAAGAAAAAAAAGCTTAATCTAATCCTTATTTTACTGTGTTTTTATATAGCTTATATAAGCCTTTATAATTACTAACTCTTTTTTTACTATACTATAAAGGTCTTAACACTTGTATAGAATCCTTATAATTTTTTATAAAACTCTACTTATACTAAGCTTTTATCTCTTGCTTAGTTCCTTATTATAATATAACTTATACTATAGTTCTTCTAGGTCTAGGGGGTTATCTTAATCTAACTAGTCGTTAGTTCTATATAAATATTATGCTGCCCACTAGTTGTCTTGTCTAGTAGGGCAACATTGCCTATAACTTGTTAGGTCATAACACCTATTAGAAATAGTTTAATAAGGCTGTAGGAAATCTAGAGCTATAGGTAGGTAGGTAGGAGGGAGAGAGGAAATCTAATACTAACTATAAGGTTTTTTGCTAGCCCTTGCTACCTAACTTGCTGCTAACGTACATAACTAACCCCTGCTTTTACTATATCTAGATCCCTGTTTCTGCTAGCACGCCAGCCGTTATTTAGCGGCCGTAATACTCCTTCTCGTTAGCATGTACATTAGCCAGAGCTGTATTTACCTAGTGGATACAGTAATGGCCATACCTAATGCTCTATGTTCAATTTATTAAGGTTTAGATATGTAATTAAACTTTAAATTATGAGTAGAATCTTTACTACCTTTATCCCTGCCTTTGGCGCCCTTGGAAAAAATTCCCTTGAAATATTATTCCTACTATCCGTACCTACTGTCTATAAAGTACTTCCTTCCCTTGAATCCACCAAGACTTCGTTTAATCACCAACTTCTGGGCGTGCTAATAATCTCCTTAGCAATCATGCATTTCACCCATCTCCCTGCCGCCACAGTCACTTTGGCTTTTTTGCTACCGACCCATCTACTAGCAGTAACATTACCGGATCATTTTACCTGTAATGTGGATCAAGCGCCCCTTAGCACCGATTGGGCCCATGCTCTCTACACATTTACACTTGATGCAACCGGTGAGGCAGTTGCTAAGGCAAATGGTGCTAATACGGTCCATGTGACGCAATGGTGTAAATCGCAAAAGCTAAACCCTTGGGGGCCTCTTCGTAAGTATACAACCTTTCGTCCTAGTTTTCATATCACCCCCCCCCCCCCCTTACGATTCAATAACATTAACTAATTCTATTCCTTAGTTAATCCTGATCAAACCTATAATCATGGGTACGCCAAGCTGAATGGATTTGGGCCCAATCATCAGTACACAGTCAAATTGGATCGTTGCAAAAAGGGTGCCGATCGTCAGCCTGTAGCCTATTCGGTCAAGCTATGCTCAGGAAACGATGAAGGCACTTGGTGCGGTAATACGGTGCTGAAATGTGGGCCATCAGACTGGAGAGGAGTTTGCGCCGTCCAAGAGACTAAAGCTGTTAACGCCACTGACATGGTTCCTTGGTCCTGCTACCGGTCCTGCGTAGATAACTGGGGAGGAGCTTGTTAACGTCGACTATAGGAAGGAATTAGGCAACCTATGTGATGTAAATAGTGGTGTTAAACGGTACGGCGGAAGAATTGCCTAACTCTAGAGTCTAGGCTTATATAACGTGGAGAAAATATCTTCTCTCGCAACCTAATTGTAAACCCCTAGCTTTAATTTAACAAGACCACTTGTTTAAGAATAGTCTAACTTCAAGAAGGTGCAGTAAGTATGGCAAGGAGTTTCTTAGAAGAACTGCTAACCATCTATGAGGGGAACAATTATCTGCAGCCGAGATGGTGGATATTGCTTATAGCATGGAAGAAGCGCAGGGGGCTCGCGAAGCGCTCATCGGCCAGGGCGTGGGTGGTTTTCCGGGCGACGTAGCGGTCAGGCGGCACCTCGCCAACGAAGCTGTCCGCGATCAGGTCGCGTTCAATGCAAGACACCAGAAGCGGATCGGCCTTTCTGTGCTTGGCGAGCAGGGGCGTTGTGCTTCTGGCTAGCGGCTTGAAGATGCCGAGATCGCTGCCCAGCTTGACCAGGGACACCCGTCGACCCTACGCTGGAGAGAACTATCAGTAACGAGTACGGTTAATTTTACATAGGCGATATGGTATTTTCCCATATCTAACCACTTTGAGCAAAAAACCCACTGCCACAGCCACGCAGTGGGCCCGCCCGCAAAATCTCGATGTACTCCGTTATCGCGGTACAAGCCAGGGGGTTGTTTGTTTTGAAATTGCCGGCTGTCCAAGATTCATGTCAAAACGTGCGTTTCTAGGGCAAATAGGCATTTTTTATAGACGTGACTTAATGCGAGGCAAAATGTGATGAATTGACTATGGCCGCGATGAAGATATCTACTGTAACAGATAACACCGTTAAATTAGTTACAGATGCATAATTTACAAGATCTGTCGCAAAGAACAAGGTCAGAAACATCGGAAAACGACGCAACAGGGCATCCTAATACCTAAACCGGATTTTGCTGGTGGGCCCAGCAGAGAAAGGTTTGTACCTTGGGGTGAGCAGTACATTTGTAAAAAAGGGCCTGTTGTGGCTGCGTGGCGAAGCTGACGAAAGTGGTTAGATATGGGAAAATACAATATCGCCTATGTAAAATTAACCGTACTCATCAGTAACCAGGTTCGACAGGGTGACATTGTTGACACTCCGGAGAGTGCGTGCGACTCACAATATCGACGAGGCGCGTTAAAGTGTCGAACGGAGTCTCTAGCTCCTCAGCCTTCTCATACCATAGGTCATCAAGCTATGTCTGGTCCGCTCATCGAGTGCCATCTTTCCACATTCATTTCCAGAGGCCACGAGATTAGCCACATGGACTGTGTTCTAGAGTGTGTATTCTGTGACGCGGTTGACTTCATTCGTTACACTGTGGCCGTTTGTCATGGATTGTCAGGCGCCCGGAAAGGGAGCACCGGAAGTGGGGCCGTGACCGGGTAAACTATTAGCCGAGGGACATGTAAAAAGGAGTTTTCACGTCCATCCTAGACTAAGAGGGGACAGATTAGAATAATAGTTACAATTGAACCCTTCTAGTGGATGTGCGCCCTGCCCATTGACCGTTGAATTTCCCCGGGCCTCGGCGTGACCATTGATTTCAAGCATGTTGGCCGCTCTGGCTTCACCATTCAGATATGAAAGCTTGTGGTGAGTCGTGTACTTGACTTATTATGTCTTTTTGGCAGGAGCTAGATCTAGCTTGCCGCGCTCCAGTAGCGGGCGAAGCCCTCGATCGGGTCCAAAGTGAAACTGTCAATTGTAAACGAGTCTTCGGGTCGGACCATGCACCGCCCCTTAAGAGTCTTCAGAATGGCCTCTTCTTCCGGCTTGAGCTCCTTGTTCAGCTCATTCAGTGCTTTCCGGTTGGCCTCGTTGGTTGAACTCGTCAAGCCACGGGCGGCGGGAAACGTACCAGGTCGAAAGAAGTCAAAGGCTTTCTCAAAGCTCTCCTCAAAATCTTACAAAACAGGCTGGTCAGAAGACTGGATATGCTTCAAAGCGCTAGAGACAACCACAAGGAAGCGCGTCTAGCTTTCAGCAGTCTTCCTGTCATGCCATGATGCTGCCAGGCGATGTAGCAATAGTGACGAGAAAGTGCTGGCAGTACGCAAGTCTTGAAATAAAGTTTAGTTCAAAGTATTTCGGAGGAATTTACCCCTAAGTTCCAGTCCCTTAAGCCGCTTGCTGAAAACCAACGCTAAGTTTCATTCTTTTTTTTTTTTTTTTTTTTTTTTTTGAGGGATGAAGTAACTTGTACAGGTGGTAACAGTGTAGACAATATCTGCAGTAGGATGAGACACGCGTTTTATGAGACTGTTGGTTCTGAAGGCGGAAGATAGGAATGGCTCAATGCCTCACTGGGCTACATGAAGGCCGGCCGGAAGTATCTGATAAGTTCTTCTTGCCGTTCTGTGTACATTTCTATTAGAGCTGACTGATGCATCGTGTGATAGACACTGCAGATTTGCCGATACATCCGATAGATCTGCTGATACACCCAACGTCAACACAGCCTATTGTGGAAAGAGGTGGCTTAGCGCGTGCCTGAGTCGGACTGCGCTGTCCACTAGTCATTGTCCAGTTTCAGTTGTCGTCCCTGGTGACAGCGCTTAGCGACAATAATATGATTCACAGTTTCAGTCTTCTGAAACTCTATTCTGGCAACGGGTAAACTTAAAAAATGGGGTCCTATACGAGGAGAATATGTTTCAATCCGTTGCATTGAACCAATGGACTCCAACCTGTAATTTCGTGAAAAACAATTTTCAGTCCTTCTGGTTTTCCTAATGTTACCTTGAGGTGTCATGGGCAAAGCAGAATCCAATGCCACCTCGAGCACCTGTAATAGATATAATGTAGTGTCCTGTCCCAGACCGACGATACATCTCATTTCCTTCGTTTCAACCGACTTTCTTTCTACCTATCATTTACACTTTCTCTTCTTTACTGCCAAGTTTATTTTTTGTTTATTTTTGTTTACATCTTGTTGTCGCTTGCCCTAGTTTGTCGTTCACTAGTAACTTCAATCTGTCTCTTGTGCCAAGCTTGCTTATCAAGATGCGTTACGCCCTGTTTTCCGTGGTCGTGGCAGCTTTGGCCATGGCTAGTCCCGCACCTAAGAAAGGGCACGCTGGGGACAACGCCAGCAACGCAGCCAACGCAGCCCTCCAAACAAAGGTTCTCGGTACCATCAACCAATGGCTCGGCGACATCCAGACAGTGAATAACTTTGTCGACACCGCCGGCCAGCTAAAGAGTAACGCAGATATTAGCAATGCTGCTGCGACTGCTTTCGTGGCCGCCCAGAACGAGGGAGACTCAAGCAACGCCTTACAGGCGGATGTTCAGCTTGACTCCAAAGGTCTGGCAGCCGCGAAAGCACTTAATGCCCAATTCAACATCATTGGCCCTGCAATCAACGATACCATTGCGAACCCGCAGAATCTACAGGCTAATCTGGCCAAGATCAATGGAGCTCGCTGCCCAGCCCCTGTTGGACAAAACGCAATTGGCAACGAGGGCGCTGTGCAAGCTGCAGCCGCTAAGGCTATCGGCACCACCGTGGCGCCGCCAGATGTTCCCCAAGCATGCAACTAAGGTACTTTTCTAAGAAGGTCGCACCAGTACACAGTGCTGACCAACACACAGTTATCAAAACACAGCGCTCCTACAACAGCTAGTATACCAGGCGTTGAAGCTTGACGGTTGTTGGCCTTGGTCCTTGTGTTGGAATGCTGGTATGCTGGTATCACAGAAGTTCACACCTGTAAGGGCATGCATGCAATGCGCTTTTGGGCTTTGGAGGGTTATTTAGGAGACTGGCACGCCTATGCCATGTAAACGATGGTTATGGAGTCCACTGACGTGTTCATTGGCTCAATGCGAAAGTAACTGTTGCTTTGGCTAAGTCCAAGGCACAGCTTACTGGGGGGGCTAATAGGCTAGGAGTAATCGCAGTTTACTTTGTAAGGTTAGTTGTGACCGGCGCTTAGGAGGTTTGAAGGGAAAAGACCATAAGCAAAACGAGCTTGTCTAAGATGTATATCAACATGCAGGCATGTTCTAAGCAAGAGATCCCTTCTTTACTTTTCTTGCTAGAAGCAAGTGGCATTCTTTGCACTGTTTTAACATTTTTGTTCATTAAAGCTACTCACTCACTAACTACAGTAGAGTGATTGCGCAGGATCTCTTGCAGCCATTATGTTACGTTAACATCAAGTGACAAGTCACTGCTACCAGAAACAAAGCAGTAAAAATTCCCAATAGCGGTCTTACATCACGGAGGCATTTTCAGGCACATGCAATCCAGGGCAATATCCTATATTGTGGATATTCCTCTTTGATGACTGCTGTGAAATCCAGCGTTTATATAGCACAGCTGATGGCCACACCCTCCTCTTTCTTTCTTTTTTTATTATCCGAGAAAGAGAAAAGAAAGAAAGAAAAAGAACGTGTGTTGCATTTTCCTGTTCAAGCGGCCTATTTGTCTTCTTATACCTTTCTACGTTACGTACAACCATATGTTTACCTCCCGGCCGCTGGGAACCTTTTAAGGAAAAAACCCAGGCCCAGTTAGACAAACATTCTCTAGCCAAGTACCTAACTAGATTTTTGAGAAATGTCAAGCTATCAGGAGCATCAATGTCGACCCTATGCAACCAGAACACCTCGGTATCTCATCTTGCCATTCCTCAGCTTCACCATAGCCGAGGTGATGCCGGCCTGCGTCAACGGAAACTTCTCTATCTGAGGCTTGATATCATGCTTTGCAGCAAATTCCAGCATAGCTCGAAGGCTAGCTGGCGGAGCAACGTTACATCCAATGACTCTGAGCTCGCCTGAGATAAACGAAAAGGGAGAAAGTGGCAGAGTTTTGCTGCTGGCGGTGAGTGGAAACAGCTGTGCCCCGGATGCTAGGATGGGAAGGTAACTGAGGAGCAAATGATCAGCCACGCGAAGTCTAGATCTGGAGTTTATACTCACATAGAGATATCCGGGACATCGTTTGCTGTGAGCAGGAGGAAGTCTAGCTTGGCAATGCCGTCGAATTTGGTCACTCCGGTGGTGACATGGAATTCGGATGCTCCGAACTCTAGCGCATCTTGTTTCTTGGACTCAGTGCTCGAGAAAACCACCACCTCCATGCCCATCTTGGAGGCGAACTGGATTGCCAGGTGTCCAAGCCCACCCACGCCGATGACGCCGACGCGGTCGCCGGCCTTGGCACCAGAGTCATATAGAGGCCTCCATACGGTAGCACCACTGCACATCAGCGGCCCAGCATATTCAGAGCCGAGGTTTTCAGGGAGCTTAAAGAGAGCCGACACATCCCAGGCGACTGCAGTCCCAAAACCGCCTTGGTCCGCGTTGGAGTTGGCGAACGAAGCCTTGGCGGCGCATTGTGTCTGGCGACCTTGACGAAACCCAGTTAGAACTTGAGAGGGGCGGATTGAAGCTTTGATGAGGAGGCTTCAAGATTTTACCTGTCAAGCAAGCTCGGCAGTGGCCGCAGAACTTGTAATACCAGCCCATTCCCACTCGGTCACCAACGCGGAAATCCGAGGTCTCATGGACAGCGGAGCCAACCTCAATGATTGTGCCAACACCCTCGTGGCCAAGACCTTTATCAGCGTGGCGATAATGCTCATCAGTAAAGCGGACCCCGCAGTGCGAGATCTTGATGATGACCTCGGTAGGACCCGGATCACGATGGCCCGTGGCCTGGACGATATCTCCGCTCGGGGATCCTTTAAAGACTGTGAAGTCGATACCCATGGCTGCCGTTGGGTCTAGTTACAGCAAAGAGTATTAGAAAATCGTAGCCGCAATATCTAAAGGCCGTGTGTCATCACCGTAACCTGGAGGCCGGATGGGAGCTTGGTGAATCCTCGTCGCCAGAGCCAACCACTCCTCCTTTATATCTCCTCTCAGAGGCACAAAGTCTGTCCTCGAAATCACCCAAGCCAGAACTATATTGTTACCAGCGTCTTCCATTGATTTCTTCTAGGTTTTGCCTTACCGCAATGTCTTTAGTCACGCATACCTCTCTCAGTTCCTTCTTCCTAGACACCACGGCAAGCCACTAACCACCAGGGCTCTTCTCCAGTTCGACACATGGCTCCACATTTGCCCGCAGAGAAAGGTTTCACTTATGCCCGACAACACGCAAAGCAGCCCCACTTATGTCCGCAATGGGAATCCACTTCTGCCCACTCAACTACAACAACAAATACACAGGAATTATTACAAACCAAATTCTCTAGAATTAGAAATCCAGTTTGAATCAGCTCACAGCGATGACATTAAGTAAATACATTATAAGCATCTCCACATTAGATCCTCTATACACACAAGACCTAATACTGTGTAGCGTTAGGCTTTCCAATACTACAGTAGCCTTCGTTGTCCTGCTTAACCTCCCTAGCTATGCAGCAGCTCTGAAGCAGTTCCCTAGCCCTATATCTGATCATGCACACCTATTTCTAGACAAAGAGATGTAGGGGGGACGTATAGAGAATAAATGTCCATCCTTGATATTGCAATTAACGAGCCCTGCTTTTACAATGTTAATCTTTGTCTCCTCCTTTCTTGAATGGGTAGGTGAAGTGAAGCTGCGTCGCGAGTCATTCCTTTCTGCCTATGAGCTGAGGCAATGCTGAAATTTCACATTGAGGTAGGAACAAGGACCAGCGGTAGCACCCGCAGGCATCACCCTCTCCCACGATAAAAGCATAGATTAGAAGACGGAAAATCTCACTCTGAAGCTGTCAACAAACCTGACATATGGGGTTCCTAGTTAGTTTCTGTGCGACTGGCTAGCCTTCGCTGCGGGCCTCTGAGCCGTTCCCGCGACTTATTAATAAACCGCGTGCCCTCTGATTAACCCTCGGGGTTTGGACAGTCGAGCAAGACCCGGAAATCTTCCATGCCGTTGCAGCTCATCAAAAGCATCTTCTCAAACTCATCAACATCATCCCTCGGCGCAGCCGCCCAAGTGTTCCGAAACTCGCCGTACGTGGTGGTATGGTCTCGATCTTCATGCCGCAAGTAGATCTTGCGAGAGGCCCAGGCGTACGGCTTGGTGGACACTGGCAGCATAAAAAGCCCTCTGCGTTCTATGCAGGTGCCGTATTTGAAGATCCAATACAGCGAATACTGCTTGAAGGCTACGACGGCGGTCCGTCGGATGCTCTCGGCGAGGACCCAAGCCTCCCACCTTGGCTGCACAGCCGGAAGCTCGTGATCTGCGCGCTGCAGAAGCTTCAGTGCGTAACACCTGACGACAAATTCCTGCCGCTCTGCGAGAACTCGTTCCTCGAGCCCGCCCTTAAAGAACCTGATCATCTGGTAGAGCACGGTGGCTTGGAGCCTAGCCAGATTCCCGAGCAGCGTGATCCCCACCGTGAGGGAGAGCATACCCGACACTTCAGCGGCGATTACTTTGAACAGAACTTTCCGAGTGTGTTCGTTCATCGAGATGGCCCCGGCGCAGATGCCAAAGGCTGTGCGTAGCGGCAGAGGTAAGGTACTATGGAACAAGCCTGGGTGGATGAACATTGTTTTTGCTTGCTCTGCAAATGTGCGCGGGGACTCCCGAAACTGGTAGAAGTCCCATCTGCTGTCCGCTGGACTTAACATTTGCTGCGAATTGCCTAGCATACCAAGCGTTCTGGGGACTGTCGGATGTTGCAACTTCGCTAATTGATTCATGCCGTCTCCGTGGTCAAGCTGAAAAGGTGGTGATTGACTGGATTAGAATCTGGTCCGATCTACCTGTAAGGGGCCAAGCCAACGGTGTCCATCTCAGCGGTGGTGGGCAGAGCACCGGGATGGACTGCACCCGCTGTCTTGCCTCTCGCCAGTGGCGGGGAATACACGTAGTGGCATGCCTTGTTGGTCTGTTGGCATCGCTGGCAGACAGGATAGGCCAGGTCGCACTTCCGTCGTCCCCGGAAGCACGGCTCGCATGATTCTCGTCGAATGGACATCTTGCCATGAACTGCCAAAATCAAAGATTACCTGGAAAGAAGCGAGTTCGACACTGGCTAACGAGAACAGAACATCGTCTCACGATGCTGACAAATGGTACTTATAGGTAAGGGTCGATTATAGTGGGGCACATTTAGTTAGCTAATCGGGAGAAGTTACTAATAAACCCAACTACACTGCTTACCACGCCACACCCCTCTAAGCGTCTTGAATAGTCAGCTACTTCGTTTGCTGGGGTCTCCGTATTTGCATTCCCTTAGAAGTGGCAAAGTGAGGCAATAACACGTCCATCGGATTTCCTACGACCCCCGATCTGACGCAGCAGCGCTGCTTCGTGCCCTCATCCGATTTGCTGGTTTATACGACCGGCCGCACCGAGCGCTCTTGCCTTGGATACCTATTAGTGCGTGGGACGGAAGTGGAGATTAAAGTGGGTCGTCGTCTATTGGAGGGAATAGAGAGTCGACCTCCTCCCAGATGCTCTCATCGGCGCTTCCTTGTCCGGCAGGGCAAACTGGCAAATCGCGCCCGGTGCCATGGCTTTTTCTATCCCAGCATGCGTATAGTTTAGCAGAAGAGAGAGACTAAATCGCAGCAACGGGATGAACATAACAAACTCCTACAGGTTAGAATCTTATGTATATTAGGAGAGAGAATGTTAGCGAGATTGTGTTTGGGTAAGCATAGCGTCCGAAGGAGCTCAGGGCCTCACACACCCCAACGAAAAGCGCAAGGGCCTGGACCACCTCATCTCCATCAGTAATTGTCATCACACCTCTAAAAGACCGCATAACAGCTTAGGTAATGTACGTGATTTTAGAAGAGGCAAATAGGCTTGTGTTTCCTTCTGTCCTTTTGTCAGGAAGTTGTGTTATCTAAAGAAGCCTGTCCCCAATCAACGCAGGGACTTCCAAAGGGCTTGAACAGGCCCTCTAATATGATTTTTATTTTCTCATGTTCGCTATACAAGAGTGAGTCAGTCCGCCTCCCTTCCGTCCAGTTCCCTTAAGAGCTCGATGTAATCCTCGTCACCTGCTGCAGCCAGTTCTTGGAACTGTACCATGTTCGCCTGCACCCACTCGTCTTCCTCGTCTGTCTGCCGGGAGATTTTACCATCAGCTAAACCGAAACGGTCAATAAAACAACTGTAAAAGGCAATACTCACTTTTGGCCTGCCAATGCCCGCTTCCAGAGCTGCCGTCACAGCTTCCAGGGCCCACACCGTCCGCAGCCCCTGCTCCCCCTCCCTGCCCACCACTCTCTTCCACTCCTCCACGATCTGTCTGCAGTGCTCCAAGTATACATCATTGGTACGATTGCTGCCCGCCCCGGTGCGCAGGATCACACGATTGTAATTGCGACGGACGCCGCCGCGGAATACAATCTAGCTATTGACGTCTATGTAGCGGACGTTGACGAAGAAGCGCGGCGTGTTGAAACGCTTGGCGTGTGCGGCGGTAAAGGCGTTGGCCAGCTGCTCTTGCTGGGCGTAGGTAAGCGGAGTTACGTACTCGACGTCGTAGAGGGGCATTTTGAACGTAGCTGCCTTTGGGCGAGCGGTTTTCCAGCTGAGTGGATGAGAGGGTGGTGTCCATTTTATAATAAAGTCGGGGGGGCTAGCGAGAAGATGTGAACAGTTTTCTAAATACTGGATTTGTCACTAGTTTGCGTAAGCCCATGGTGAACATTAGCATTACCTGCTTAGCTTAGCTATATCAAAGCACACCTCTGTTTTGCAAATAGCTGTTGAAGTGCAGGCAAAATGGGGCAAGTGATACAATATAGAAATGGTTTTCAAACTAGTGTATCTTAGAACTAAAACGAATAATTACCTCTGGAGCTACAGCATTACTTGCTGTTTCTTTGTCCAACTCAGCAAATCGTTCCAGTTGTGGCACCGGTGTTCGGTGTCAAAGCCCGTTACCCCACCGGTCTGAGGATCCGCAACCTCAACGGTTAAATCAGGCTGACACATGAGGACATTACGAATCAGCTCAACGCAGTGATTGAAATGGGCAGGTTTTGCGCCCTGATGATGATGTTGTCCACTGTCATCGGGGGCATGCAGATGGCTTGTCCTCCTTTGGCTTTGGTCTGTTTCAGCAGGTGTTCCGTATTTTTGGTCATAGAGGAGCCACCAGCTCCTCCAGATTTGCTCCTATGCTCATAGTTAGAGAAGAAATTTGAACAGGACGGTCTTCACTCACTAAACAGTGCATTTGATGGAATGTCGAGAAGACAGACCTCTCTGGTGCTATGGAGGGATGGACGAAAAATCCGCCGCCCTCTACAAACAAACTATCCCATGCACGGTTTCTTTCTCGGTCTGGGCGCCCAATAAATGAACTGTTTTCTTGGAAACGTTGAACAACTTCACTCACTGGTGTATATTAGTGACTCGGAAACTTCCCAGGAAGCAAGGTCTCTTACATCTGATGGTCTGAGATATATCCCGTTCAGTGTGACGCAATCCATTTCCAACCCAGTATCCAATTCCTAACGAGAAAGAAACCGCCACCACGAACACGAAGACAGTGCTCTTGATGAAATCCCTAGGGCTTTGAAGTCGGGCTCTGTCTGCCCATCGAAAATAGAGGCCTTCATTTGGTTTGTTATTGAGTCGAAAAGACCGCATAGTGTCTAGGTACAATGAAGCGAACAGGGCTGGAGAACTGCGTATAAAAGAATTCTGGTCAGGGTAGGAATAGTATAAGTTTAGGTCTTGTATTATGGTTAGAAGCTGAATCTCGGGGATTGTACGCCTAAAGATGGGTAAAGAGTCTTCTACTATCCCCTTCTTAAATATCTGTAAGCCTTGCACGCTTAGAACACTAACTCCGCCACCCCACATCTGAACCACTTAAAAATCGCGCATCCTCATAAACCATTATCAAATCAAGCGAACAGCAGGGTTGAAATAATGTGTATTTATTGTATCCTGTGGGCTGCGGTTAACAGGCATACAAAATACAAGATTGAACTCGAGTCAGTAAAGTATTGACCCACCTACACCAAAATCAGTTCCAACCAGTAAGCCAACGCGGATTTGCTTGCTCCGTAGGACGAGAGGAGAGGCACTCGAACCAAATAGGCCCTAGTTATATTGAAAGTGATCAACTCAAGTGCAGCGGCAGGTAACCTTTTGTGGTGTGATAATAACGTCATAAGCATCCTTTCTACTGATCAAGGTCCTTTATCAGCTTGAACACTGAGCTGCTGCTGGTGTGCCATAAAACATCCTTTAAGGGTTCTCCACTTAGAGAACCTGAAACTTGATCTTGTTACTTATGGAGATTAGATAGGATTTGTGTTAGCTGTAGTGTAATAGCCAATGCCTCCATCCTGCTTCGTGCTTCACTTCTTGCGAACTCCATGACAGGATAACTGGTACATTAATCTTTGATAAAGCGATATGGTATGGGAACTGGCACACTGGACAGATCAAGTTAAACATAGGTAATTTCTGATTCAACAACTCTCCTCACTCCACGAATCGACCTAACTTGACATACCATCCTGTTAAGCTCGGAAGACACCGACACATAGTAAGAAAACTAATCCAAAAGGCTAGTACGCAATCAATCTTTAGCCCTAATCTCCTCCTTCTTGGCCACAAGCTGCTCAACGTCCCAATTAACCCAGGCGAACCGACCAGAAAGGAACTTTACCTCCTCAGTCACCGCCCAGACAACAAAGTCTCGGCGAGAGCTGGATCGGTACTTGGAAGCACACCATCGAGACCAGATTTGTTGCCCATATCTGTCTTTACTGCACCGGGATGAACAGAAAGGAAGCGAGCCACGTGTTCGGGTACATTCACCGATGTTAGTTTCGACCATCGAGCTAACGCGGCTTTGCTTGCTCCGTAGGAAGAGAGGAGAGGCACCTGAACCGAATAGGCCCCAATGGTATTCAGGGTGACCACAACAGCTGGACTGCTTGGTGATCCATCTTGTTGGTGGCGACTGAAGAAAGATTAAGTGACCAAAGCAGTACTGAGAACAAGTAAGTCGGCCCTCCTTCCCATCACCTTGAAGAACCATCCACTGGAAGGTAGAAATCTAGTCAAGCGCCTAACGTCGGCCGGGATGAATCGTAAGAATATACGCTATTAATAGTTCCAATCTTGCATATTACTACGTTTGCTGTGTAGGAATCCAAGTTTGCCAAGGATCCCATCCTACCGTTCGATATTTAGAAAGCGCCAGCATTCGGCTGGATGATTGTGTCTGCTTTCTTCACTTTAATGGATTTCGGCATCATCGTCTGGTATATCAATTTGTGGAATCTTCAACTTCGGCATTATTCCCTATTCCTAAACGGCGCTGGTTATACTACTTGTCAGGTGCCAGAGGTGGGGGGCACCAGGGGACCACCAGCTGTAGGGCTACAACCAGGAAAACTATTATCTAAGGGTTATATAAAAGCAGAGTTTATAGGAACAGGAGAATTAGGAGAAGGCAGATTAGAAAATAGTTATAATTAACCCCTAACTACACTATTTATAGACTCCTTTACTTAGTACTATAACACCTTTAATATATTTTAATCTCTACTTATCCCTAGGCGTACTAACTATTAGAGCTATAATATTACCCTTTAATACTTAAGCTGCTGCTTAGTAAGGTATAAGTGTTACCTTTAGGCAACTAACCTTAGATAGTAGTAATACCTAGGCGTAGGCAGAGAACAAAGGCCTACTAGTATAATAATAGCTCTAAAGTAACCTTAAAGAAATAATAAAAAAAAAGCTTAAGTACCTTCTAGAAAAGTAAGTAAAAAAAGCTAAAAAAAGAAAAATAGTTAACTAGATTTTAGCTTTAATAAATAAAGCCTTTATTAAAGAGGTATATAATACACTAGGCCTAGCTACTACTTTTTAGCTAAAGTATAAGTACTACTATATTAATACACTATTAAAGTAATTACCTTTAATCTAATATAAAAAGGTATATAAAATAACCTCTAGGACTTCTTATTTAAGCTAAAAGGATAATTTAAAGTTATAAAAAAAAATTTAAAGATAACTAAAGTAAAGTATAGTATACTAGCTTTATACTAAAGGGTAACCTAGTGTATAAATAGTAAAAGTATATTAAAGCCTACTATAATAGCTAAATAAAGAGAGTAACTTAAAAGTAATAAAGACTTAGTTAAAAAATAATATTACTAATACTAATATATAGGCCTTTAGTATAGTAGTAAAGCTTAATAATATAAAGTAAAAGTTAACTAGTTATACTAGTAATTTATTAATAAGTATAAGACTATTAAATAAAGTGCCTTAACTTATAAGCTAAAAGATAATAAGTAGTCTATATACTTAACTAGTTATTACTTAATCTAAAGAGCTATATATTAGCCTAGAGAATACTAAAGATATAATAAGCCTTTAATAATACTATATAATAGGCTAAGACACTAGCTAAAGCCTATACTAAAAATAAACTAGTAGACTAGTAAAAGTAAAATTAGGAGTAAAAAGACTAGTAAGCCTTAGCTATACTACTAAGTCTTAATATAAAGGTCTTTATAATAAAGCCTTAGTCTATATACTCTATATCTATACCTATAATAACCTAGGGTATATTAATACTAATACTAGAGGCCTTAAAGGTAAAAAAGAAAAAGGTAACTACTTACTTTTAACTAGGCTATAGTACTCCTTAACTTACTTTAACTATAGTAAGCTAAAGTATTTATTAGCTAGCTATACTAAAAGAAGTACTATAGGTATAGTTAGCCTAGACACTTAAGTAAATAGTATATAATAAAAGTAATAAAGGTTAATATTATCTAATTACTCTAGGAAAAAAGACTATACTACTAATTTAAGGTAGACTTTTATACTAGGATAAGTAGTATATAAAGGAAAAAGAAAGCATTAATTAACCTAGGGGTAAATAAAAACCTTATATACTAAAGAATATTATATATAAAGAGGCTACTAGTAGTCTATAGAGAGAGACTACTACTATAAAGTATATAGAAAGGTAAGGCCTTAGACTATAGTTTAAAGAAAATAGTGTTAAAAGTAAAAGATAATATTAGAATATTAAGGATATAGAGCTATACTTTATAAGTAAGTAATATAAGAGAATATAATATTATTCTAGAGATCCCCTAAGGGTAAGTAATAAGGCTTAACCTTAAGTAAAAATAATTAGCTAGACCTATTTACTAGGTAAAAACTATATTTAACTTATATAAGGCTAAAAGGTAGTTAAGAAGGCTTTAAAGGATACTAAGGTAGTCCTTATAGACCCCCTATAATCTAATACCTAGGGTATAAACACTAAGGAGGCACTAGAAATACCTACTTATATATTAAAGAAGGATAAAAGGCTAGTAAAGCTAGTAATATAGAGGCTATAATACTAAAGAATATAAAGAATAGGCCTATATATTTAATATAGACCTAGTAGTAAAGCTAGTAAAGGATAATATATAAATATATATAATAGAATTAGAACTAGGTATAGTACTACTATTTAGCCTTATTTACCTACTAGTAAAAAAGAAACTAAAAAACTAAAAAAGTATATTAATAAATCCTTAGCTAAAGGCTAAATATAGCTCTTAAAGTTACTAGTAAAGTACTAATTCTATTTATACTTAAAAAAAAGGCAAGCTTTACTTCTATATTAACTATTATAGGCTTAATAAGATTACTATTAAGAACTAAGTACTACTACCCTTAATAAAGGAAATCCTAGACTATCTAGTAAAAGTAATATAATTTATAAAGCTAAACCTTAAGGATATATACTACTAGGTAAAGATCTATAGTAAAAATAAATAAAAATAGCCTTTTATACTTACTATAGACACTATAAGTATTAGGTTATACTTTTAGGCTAGTTAATATATTTATAATATTCTAATCCTATATTAATAATACCTTAGTAAGTCTAGTAGATATTATCTATATTATTTATTTAGATAATATCTTAATCTTTATAGAGGATAAAGAGAGCTATATAAAGGTAGTAAAGATAGTACTAAGCTAGTTAAACACTATAAGGCTATATATTAACCTTAAGAAGTACTTTTTTTATACTAAGTCTATTAGCTTCCTAGGTTTTATAGTATCTAATAAAGGTATTTTAATAAAATAAAAGAAAGTAAAAGTAATTACTTAGTAGCTACTACTTACTAGTGTATAAAAGATATAGACCTTCCTAGGGTTTATAAATTTTTATAAGTAGTTTATTAAGAACTATTCTAAAGTATATTCCTTTTTACTAACTAACTATCTACTAAGGCAGTAGGAGAGTAAGTAATTATAAAGAAAGCTAAAAAGCCTTTTATAAGATCTACACTATATTTACTTATACTTTTATCTTATAGTATTTTAACCTTATATTACTTATTTAAGTTAAATAAATATATTTAACTTTATAATAAAGGTAGTACTAAGCTAGCTTTATAAGGAGCCTAGTCCTTATAGCTTATATATTATAAAAACTCTAGAGGTAAAGCTATACTATAGAGCACTAGAGGCTAAGTTACTTATAATTTAAGAAGTACTATATATTAGAGGCACTATCTCTTATACACCTAGTACTATATTATATTCCTAATAGACTACCTAGGGCACTACTACTTAGTAGCTAAGCTATAACTTAATAGCTACTAAGCTAGGTTACTATAAGACCTTTTATTATTTAATTTTAAAATTAAATATTACTAAGTAAAGATAATATAGTAGATAGGCTTTTATAAAGGCTAGACTATTAGCTTAGTAAAAAGAAAAAAAAGAAGTATAAAGTATATTCTTAGAGAACTTCTTTAGTAAGTTTAAAAAAAGTAGTAGTAATTAGGTGTAGTAGACTACTAGGTTAAAATATAGTAGCCCTAGAGAAACTTACTATTACCCTAGAAAAAGAAGTTATTATAGTATAACTAGAGGATAAATAGATTTAGTCTAAAAGTAATAATAACTAAGAAGTTACTAGGCTAAAGAAAAGAATAAGTTACTTTAATACTAAGGTAGGCTTATAGTACTAAAGGATATATAATAAAGATAAGGTTACTTATAGTGTTTTATAATAAACTATTAAGAGGGCACCTAAAGGTAACCTAAATAATAAAATATATAGAATAAATATTCTTTAGAAATTAATAAAAAAGGATATTAAGAAGTATATTAATATATATACTATTTACTAATATATAAAACTAAGGTACTATTTATTTTATAGAAAACTAGCTTCTCTTTTACTACTTAACTAACTATAAGAGTAGGTTACTATAGACTTTATTACTAAGCTACTAAAGTTAAAGAGATTTAATAATAAATATATAATAATATCTTAGTTATAGTTAATAAGCTTATAAAGTATACTATTTACTTACTTACTAAAGAAACTTAATAGTAGATTAGCTAGTAACCCTCTTAGTAGATAAAGTATTTCTTTATTTTAGACTTTTAACTTTAATAGTGTTAAATTATAAGTCCTTATTTATAAGTTACTTTTAGCAGTAGTATATTACTAGCTAGCTATTAAATAGAAGCTTAGTATAGCCTATTACCCTTAAACTAATAAATAAATAAAGAAGTAAAACTAGAATATTAAATACTACTTCTAAGCCTTTTATAATATTAAGTAAATAACTAGGTAAAATAGTTACCTATAGCTAAATTTATTTATAATAGTTTATAGTATAGTATAACTAAGGTTATACTAGTAAAGCACTAATAGGCTATATACTATAGAGTATATATAATATATATCTAGTAAAGGTAAGACTAACAGAGGTCCCTAGGGCCTATAAGAGAGTAAAGTAACTATAAAGCTAAAGAACTATAATTAGTAAGATATTAAAAGTAGTTAATTAGGCCTATAAGAAGTAGTATAATACTAAGAGGTCTAATATAGATTTTAAGGTTAAAGAAAAGGTCCTTCTATTAGCTAAGTTTATTAAGTAAAAGAGACTATCTAAGAAGCTATTAGATAAGTACCTTAGCCTTTTTATAGTAAAGTAGGTAGTTAATAAAGGTAAGGCCTATAAGATAAATATAAGTACTAAATATAAGATCTATAATATCTTCTCCTTATCTTAGCTAGAGAAGTTTTAGGGATTATTAGTAAAGCCTTAACTAATACTAATTAAGGAAAAAAAGGAAAATATATATAAGGTAGATTAAATTATAGCCTATAAAAGGCTATAGTAAAATTAGTAGTACTTTATTAAGTAAAAGAGGTATAATAAAAAAAAAACTCTTAGAAACCTTAGAGAAATATTATAAAAGAATTATAATATAACTATAAGTAAAAGGTTACTAGAGGAAGACAAAAGTATAGTTAAGCTAAGTAAAGATTAGCCTAAGGATAACTAGATTAAAGATTTAATTATTATAGTATAAAGGCTAAGAAATATAGGTAGCCTAGAGGCTAAGTATTTAAAAGCTATAATAAGTAAAAGAAAATAAATAAAAAAAAAGCCTAGGGGGCACTAGAGGTAGTAGTAGTAAAGCTTACTTACTACTTTACTTATTATCCTCTAAATTACTATTACTAATATTCTTATTATTATTATTATTATTATTATAAGTAAAAAATATAAAAGATATAAAAGTACTACTTTTATCTTTATTAGCCTTAGATTTAAGCTTACTAGTATACTAAAAAGAAGTTAATAACTAGTATAAAAAGTACTAAAAGAGCACTAGGTAAATATTAAGGAAAAAATACTTATAACCTAGGAGTAGGTCTAGGACTACTCTAAAAAGAGGGTAGTCTAGGCTATAATAGTAGTAGTTTACTCTTAGAAGGTAATAGTCTAGGCCTTAAGGGCTATAGTAGTAACCTTAGTAGTATAAAGTATAAACTTAGCTAGCTTAACCTAGTAGTAAAAGAAGTTAATAGTAGTCTTAAAGGCTATAATATAGTACTAGTAAAGAAGCTACTTTTTCTCTTTAGCCTTAGCCTTATACTTAGTATTAGGGGCCTTAGCTAAGTTAACTTAGCACTAAAGTGCCTTCTTAGCTATAACCTAGGCCTTATTAATCTTATCCTAGGCTAATATTAGTATAAAGGGTTACTAAGGGAACACTAGAGAAAGTAAATATATAGTAATACTATAGTAAATATAAGTAGGCTTAGTAAAATAGTTTATAGTCTTAAAGAGGTAGTATAGCTTAATACTAGCTATAGTAGTAGTATAAGTAGCTTATTTAAAAAGTTAATAGTTACTAAGAGTTATAAAAATAATAAAAATAAAAGTAAATATACTAAAATATAAGGCTTACTATATATAGTAGTATAATAAGTATACTTATTACTAGTAGCTAAAATATATTAGCTAAAACACTAAAAAGAAAATACTAAAGAAGTACTAGGTATAAAAAAAATATATAAGTAGTCTTTATATAGTAAAGAAAAGTAGTAGTATAAGCACCTAATATACTAGAATACTAGTTAGTTATTTAGTAAATATAGTAGTTATAAAGTATATTATAAATAAGCTTATTTTCTTTAATATAAGTATAAGGGTAATAAAGAGTAAATAAAGTAAAAAAGGGCACTAGAAGGCTAGTAAAACTACCTTAGTTAGTAAGACTAGTAGTAGTAAAGCTAGTAGTAGTAGTAATAGTATTATTAGTAAAAGTATTAGTAAAAATAAAAAAAGATATAGTAGTAGTAAAGAAGCTAGTACTAATACTAGTACTATTATTATTACTATTATTACTAGGTAGTAGTAGTAATAATAGTAGTAGTAGTAAAATAAAAAAAATAAAAAATAATAATAAAATAAGGCTATTAAAAAAAAAAAAATTAAAAGTAAAAAAATTAAAAAAAAAGTAAGGCTAAAAAGGTTACTTAATTAGGCTAAGTAAAAATAATAAAGTAAATTATAATAGTATCTTAAGCCTATAAAGTAAAAAAAAAATAATAAAAAAAAAAAAAGATAAGACCTAAAGGGTTACTAGTATAGCCTACTAAAAAGTAAAATAAAGGCTCTCTTTTATTATAAAAGTAGTATAACTTAAGGCTTAGGCTATAAAAAAATAAAAGTAATAAAAAAAGTAACTATATAATAAAGGCCTACTAAAGGTATATAGTACTTAAGAAAGTATTATAGTTAAAAGAATAAAAAAGTAAAAAAAGTATTATAAGTAAATAAAGTATTCTTATTATAAAGTAAGTAACCTTTAGTAAGGCTAGTTAAGTAATAAAGGCTTATAACTTAGCTAAAAATAACTATAACCTTAGAAAAGTAATAGTTTTAGCTTAGTTAAACTATAATAACTATAAAAGTAAAGTTAAAAGTAATTAGCTAGCTAAAGAAATAGCTATTTACTTAGTAACCTACTAAGCCTAGAGGTATTCCTAGACACCTCTAAAATACTAGGTAGTAGTAAAGCCCTAGGGGCTTACTAAAGCACTACTTAAGGTCCTAAGGATAAGACCTTAAGGGGGGAAGATTATATTAAGTACTAGAGGTAAAGGGCACTAGGGGACTACTAGCTATAGGGCTATAACTAAGAAAACTATTATCTAAGGGTTATATAAAAGCAAAGTTTACAGGAACAGGAGAATTAGGAGAAGGTAGATTAGAAAATAGTTATAATTAACCCCTAACTACACTATTTATAGACTCCTCTACTCAGTACTGTAACACCTCTGACACTACTCTCGCAGTTTTAGGGGCATTTGCAGCCATTCTCTCTGCTCTTGTGATCCGGCATTTGACAGCTCAGTATATTATGGCGATTGGTTCGCTTGCGTCCGCTGCGGCATTGGCCCTTGTTTGCACCATACCAGAACAGCAGATATACTGGGCTCAGTTATTTCCAACACTCATTCTAGGCGCACTTGGGCCTGACTTTCTCTTTACTGCATCGCAAATCATTGCCAGCAATAATGTCAAGCGAAGTCAACAAGGGATAGCTGGGTCCTTTGTTGGAACGCTCCTGTCATATGGCTTAAGTATAGGTTTAGGATTCGCCGGCACAGTGAAAGTATACACAAATTCTAATGGTAAGATTCTTGTCCAAGATTATCGCAATGCTCTTTATCTCGGCATTGGAATGGCAAGTTGCGCTGCATTGATGACGCTTGCATTTGTGCGGATTCCAAAGGATCGCAGAGAGGGTTGGGTCTAACTCTGGCCTTTTGGATCATGAGAGAGAGCACATCTTAGCAACAGAAACGCCTATCTGAAAGAGTAAGCATTTCCGTAGCATAGCGGCAGTGATAGTGATAACCCTTGATGTCCAGTCTGAAAACAAACGGCATTCCAGCGCTGGGGTTGTACAAACCCTCCGTTTGCGGTATGCATGAAGGTCTACTGAAGGACCCTAAGAAAACAACGGCGCCAATGATGAGAAGAATTTCGATACCTATGACGCATATGGCTTAGCATCCTGAGTGCTCTCCACTAGATTTGTCTTGTTGAAATGAGGTTGTTATTGTCGATGTCATCATCGCCGTTGTTGTGCATGGTTTATGTTGCTTTTAGGGGACGACCCTCAGCAGCATAGCGATCAAACCTCGCACTTCCAAGACTTTTGGCTTGTCAGTGTATCTACAAATAGTAGTATCGGCTCTATGCATTAGCTAGGAGTCTAGGAATGAATCAAAGTGTGAGAAATAACTGCTATCCGTACTCAGAAGCCTCCCTTTCCGTCCCACATCAAGACTTTCAGAAGTGGGATGATGAAATTACTAATTTTAATAGATCACACTGGAAATCTGGCAGTAGCAGAAGCAATCGCAGCATCAGAAGAAGCAGCGGCAGTACCAACAAGTTTCCAGCTTGTGAATATGGTTTAGGGTGCCTGTCAAACAGCAAAGCCAATCTTCTATAAGCGACTAAAAGTAATACCGAGTTAATTAAATTGTAGTTAGTTTCCTAGTAAGACAGCTGCGTCACGTTCATCGTACAGACACGGCTGTATACTATACGTAAGTATACTAGTATCATTACTAATTCTGTCCCTTCCTAGAATACTTCCATCAAAGTTACTATATCGATAATGATATGTAGGTTTTTTCAGTCAATGGTTTATTTACTAAAGCTAGAAATACTAACTAGTACACTCCTTGTTACAATTCAACCCTTTGGAGGGTCTTTTAGCGAAGCGTAGGGACACACCACACCCTACCCTATTAAGACGAGAGAGCTATTGAATACTGCTACGCGAACGTGTACATTATCCGACAGACAAGACGGGAACAGAGATTGATATCGATTGATCTAACCCTGGGAAAAGCAATGATGCAGTAGTGAAGTCCCGGGATGTGGCCGAAGTAGCACGGGGGTTACCAGTCAACTTCCTTGAACAAATAGTGGACCAGTCGCCATATTAAGGAAGGTCACATCCTCGTTGTTCCACATCAAGAGATGCTAGGGAAAATAAGCTTCATTCAGCCAATCTACATCTAAGAAAACGACAGTCAAAGCCATCCGCCAAGACCGCCAAGCAAGCCAAGACTTGATAGTGTGCGATCGAGCTCGGCAGAACACAATGCCCGCCAATGACGAGCTCATGCTAAGCGCAAGAGGCAGCTGGATGCGGACTCTTTTCCAGGCTTGATCGTACCGTTACATGAAGAAAGGCCTATGTGCCATTCATGGCCATGTTCGCCGCCTTGGCGCTACCTGATAGATTGCAAAAGCCGCTATTTATCTTGGCAACCCAACACATGATGCCCATCGGCTTATCACCCAAACCGTTTGCCCACTATCGTCAATTTATGAAAGCATGTAACCTGACAGACTGAGCAGGTGCCGATGCCATTTACGATAAAGGGGCCCAGTCACGTACCAAATCCAAAGGTGCCGGCCGGACAATAATTGAGTCGGGCCCATTTAACGGGGTAGTAGGCGATTGTGGTTACCAGGCTCAGAGATAGCGGGATCGCCCTCAGCCCCTCAAAGTACCGACCCACCTTCTCTCAATGTATTCTACAAAGACCAACTACATAGACCATTAGCCTTCTTTACAAAAGCAATGAGAAAATAGCTATATATTCATCAGTTTTGAATATATCTTATATCTGATAGCACAAATCAACGTTTTATAGAGCTCAAACCCTAGAGAGACCTTGGGAAAATACAGGTAATAAGAATGTCGTGTGTATATATTGCTTATTTAGTCTAGAGTCAGGGGTGAAACTTGGATTTGAAGGGAATGATTTGAAGTTGGAGAAGAAGAACGACGTAGGATCAGGTAGGCTGGTACTTTGCTGATCGATCGGTAGTCCCACTATCTCTATACCTGGTAGCCGCAACCGTAGTAGGCCTGCCAAGGTGATATTGTTACCCATCGGACCTTATCCTTTTGAGGAAGGTTCAAATTCGCAAGCGCTCAGTCTTGCGATATGACTTTACTTGTGAAATCAACGAAGGGAGTTTGTATTTAAACTACCAAAGTAACAGCCATCAGGGTCTCCCTCTTTCTTTATCTCACCCAGTCAAGTCAAGTCGAATCAGGTGACCGGTCTCGTTCCCAATATGCAATTCAAAACTCTTCTCGTTTCCGCCCTTGCGGCAGCCTCTGCCGCCCTTGCCCAGCGATCCTGCGGTACCCCTTCTCCTACAGAGGAGCAGACTGAGGTTGCCCAACGCCTTCAGTTCAATGAGGAAAACGCTCGAGTTGCTGGCAATGCTACACGCCTTGCGCCTATCACGGTCAATGTCTACTGGCACGTCATTGCCACTTCCAGCTCCGTGAGCGGCGGTTACCTTAGCCAAGCCACCCTAGATAAGCAGCTGGATGTCTTGAATGAGGCTTACGCCCCCCATGACATCCAGTTCGCCCAGGCCGGTGCCGATTGGACCATCAACTCCAACTGGGCTTCTGATAGGGCTGAGTTGACCATGAAGCGTTCGCTCCGTAAGGGCACATACGCCGATCTCAACGTCTACTTCGTACCCGGCACCCCATACCTGGGCTACGCTTACTTCCCAACAACTGTCACTACCGGATCCTCAGCTTTCTACTACGACGGTGTAGTTATTCTTTCTGACTCCGTTCCTGGTGGTAGCTTATCTCAGTACAACCTTGGCCACACCGCAACCCATGAAGTCGGCCATTGGCTCGGACGTAAGTCACTTGCATGGCTTAATGTGAACATCAAAATTCTGATCTTAACTCGCATAGTTTATCACACTTTTGAGGGCTACCAGTGTGGTGGAAACGGTGATTACGTATCTGACACTCCTTTTGAGTCCGAGGAGGCTTACGGATGCGAGATCGGTCGTGACACCTGCCCCAGCCTGGCTGGTGACGACCCTGTCACCAACTACATGGACTACTCTGACGAGTAAGTATCCCTTTTGTCCTTCATCAATACGAAGCGTTCACTAATGTAAATTCAAGCCCTTGCTTCACTCACTTCACTACTGGCCAAGAGACGCGGATGCACAGCTACTGGACCACCTACCGCGCTAGTTACCAGTGAGAGAATTATAGGAATTGTGTTTCGCTTGCCGATGTCAAATTGGAGGCCCTTTTCCAGCTCCCTGCGATAGATTTGGGCTAGCTTCACAGTCAAGGCTCCAGAAGGAGAATCCTAATGCCCTCAGGCCAAAAATCTGATCACTTGCAAATAATTAATAGGTACTTAATAATAAAGTCCGTCTAATAAAAATGAGAACTTGGCGATGCAAGGCGGTTAAACTAGCTTTAATCATACAAACGACCGGACGTTGCCCGAACAGTGTATATTATAATGTTTTAACAAACAACATATGCATATGCCAAGAATGAAGTACCTCACATACAATGATTTATTTTCAGGATGCTAGAACATCTATTTATTACTGTTTACAGTAGGAAAATACTGAGGATGGCCGACTTCTACGTTCCTATATACTGTTGAAAGTTAGATCTAGTGATATAGCTATACGTCCCGTTCTGTAATTGACGTACCTATTAAACCCTCATGTTTTTAATTCGGAATAACTGTGAGGCCCGCTATCCAAACTGCGAAATGCTTGTACGGCAGTTTCTGTGTGTCAATTCTGCACCTTTGTGTATGAAATGGGATCGTCTTATCCTTATTCATCATCGTGCAAGGGGGTTTAATGCCGATAACAATTTGGGAAGGTTACATAGATCTCATAACTTGAGAAATGTTGTTATTCAGGGTCAATTGCAGCATTGCACACTCAATCTACTCGATCTTTTGAACTTTTCTAACCTTTCCAATCCTTAAGGCTTTACTTCTGGTCGGCTATTTGGTAACAGGGGCTGTGCAACCACTCCGGGCTTTTCCCCTTACTTATAACGCACAATGTGATGAACCGCAGCGTCTAAGCATTTATGAAGAGAAGTAGTTGATTTTCTTAAGTCTACATACGAGGGAAATATCGCCTAGAAATACTCTTCCTAATGTGGGTCTATCGGTTCGGAGACGCCACTTCGTGGCGTCTCTAACTCGCACCAGCCACACGAAGCTGTCCCAGCTTCACGACACACAACTTAAGCTAGATGCTTAACGTACTCCGGTCCGGATCATCCCCGCCCACAACGTCAAGGGGTCGCTTTCGAGATCAATAAGGTGCAACAATTGACTCCGTCAATAAATAGATGGTTGGGGAAAAGAAGCGCTTGCCTCGTTTACTAGCATCGTTATATTAAATCGATGCCAATCTATTCAACCACCCAAAACCAATGTTATCATTCTAGTAGATCAGCTTCTTGTGCTGCTTGGTTCTGTTCTTCTTCAATAGAAGGGTTTTGGCGACGACAAATTCGGTTGGAAGTACTCCGTAAGCTGGATAAACATATCCGTCCAGTGGGGGGTTCTAGCTCCCCTGGGTCTGCGGTCGACGGTGTTCTGATTGGTTTCAGCCCGCTTTTGTTGATGTGAGCCGAGACATAATCCATCGAGATACAGGAAGCCAACAAAGCATGCGTTGCGGGGAATCAGGTGCTAGTATAAAGATCCTAAGAGCAGGACCTTCAGCACACCGTGTGAGCTAATTTTTCTTTGCCTTTCCTCTAAAGAAAATACACGATGAGTGTTCTCGTCTCGGTTTTAACACGGGCAGTCACCCCGGTTGTCTTTGCTGTGGCGTGTATATATGTTATCAAGCGAATCACTCTATATACCAAACTGAGGCAATTTGGTGGGCCATGGTGGACTGGCATCACCCACCTCTTTCATAGCAGAGCAATTCTCACCCCTAATTGCCATGAATGGTACGCGGAAATGAATGATAAGTACGGTACGTTTTTCCAAATGATTCCCAACTTTGATTCTTTGCTTTTGACTGATTCACATGAATTTGTCTGGACCTGTGGCTAACACTGGCTCAGGCACATTTGCACCCATAGCGCCAGGAATGCTGGTCACATCTTCGCCAGAAGTTTGGGCTCATTTGAACAAACATCCAGGCTACAAGAGATCTGACTGGTACTACCACGCTTGTCGGGTAGAGTACCGAAGGGACAATGTTTTTACCCAGACAGACAATAAGAAACATGAAATCAGGCGGAGACAAATGGCTCCTGGGGCAGGTTCCCTTTTACATTTTACCAGATAGCACATGTTTCAAGTTCTATCTCAGCTAACTTGTATATGATTGCAGTACTCTGGCAAAGAGAACTTTGACCTCGAGCCGACGATCGACCAACGTCTAGGAGAGCTGTTGCATCTAATCAGGACAAAATATCTTTCATCTACTACCAAGACTGTGCCAATGGACATGGCGAAAAAGATACAGTATTTCACGCTTGATGTGATCAGTTCTGTTGGTCTAGGCAAAGCGTTTGGTATGCTGCAGTCTGATAGTGATGTAGACGACTATCTAAAGTCGACCGAGGAGGGCTTATCTTCTGTCAACTTAGCAGTTGCTCTAGGTATCAGCTGGGTAGCTCAGGCCCCTCTCTTCGGCAAGTTCATTGCTCCCTCGCCTACCGACAACAACGGCTTTGGCAAGATGATTGCCGCATGTTTCCGCCACGTTGACGAACGGACGAGAAGCGATACCGACGAGCGGTCCGATATGCTAGCATCATTTGTCCGTCATGGTTTGAGGGGTGACGAGCTGCGATCAGAGGCACTCGAGCAAGTTATTGCAGGATCTGACACAACCGCAGCTGCCATTCGTGGTGTCATTCTACAAATCATGGCCAATAGCCGTGTCTATGCGAAATTACAGCGCGAAATTGATGGTGCTGTGCGTGATGGGATCGCTCCAAGAACAGGGGAAGGTCTCATTGCCCTAGCACAAGCAAGGAAGTTACCGTATTTGCAAGCTATCATTCGCGAATCCCTGAGATTCCGTCCCCCTGTAGTCAACATCTTCTCGCGAGACACGCCACCCGGAGGTGACATCGTCAAGGTTGACGGTGAGGATGTCTACCTCCCAGGCGGTATCTGCATAGGGTATTCGGCCTACGCGATACATCGAAGTGAAAAGGTATACGGCAACGATTCAAAGGTTTTCCGACCTGAGAGGTGGTTTGAGCGGGATGCTGATAAACTCGCCAACATGATTCGGACCAACGACCTTGTTTTCGGGCACGGGAACTTTATGTGTTTGGGAAAGCCAGTAGCACAGATGGAACTCTCTAAGACAATCTTCGAGGTAGGTGCCGAAACTAACATTGTGCGAAGCATTGTCAGACTGGAATATCACGCTAGATATTTCGTCACTTCCAGTTAGCGCCTATCGACCCGGCCCGACCATGGAAAGCACGGAATTGCATGGGACTGTTCGTGATCTCAGACATGTGGGTCGAGGCAACTGAAAGAAAGGTTGAGGTCCACGACTAGCTGGACCAGAAAGAACGCCTCGGATATTTAGTATGGTCTTAAGTACTGTTCGAGCTTCATCATCCCCTGTCTATAGACGTTACCGTCGATTTTATTGATTGTTATGGAAATTATAATATGTAGCCCTGGCTTGAAAATAGCTTTGACTGATAATGTCTATGACTTTGGGTCTTCTCTGTCCGAACCTCCATCATAGGCTATCCTAATTGACTTCTATTGCTTTATCAAGTATACTTTGAGCCCATAGCCCTCTTATCTGCGTACTGGCCGAAGGCTTCCTGCATGGGACGTTGTGGCGTATAACTTAGATATGAGTGAATGAAGCGGTTTTTTGAAAACCGAAGTCAATATTGCTCTTGGTGTAATTAACCGGAAAGTCAAGTCTCCCAATGCTTTCCATGAGCATATTTGCTTGATGGAGATAGCCTATAAGTAAACGAAATGTAAAGCAAGTTTCATATAAGGACTGAATGTAGACCAAACCTTTAGGCTCGCACAGTCGCACTGTAGTACTCACAGAGTTACATCTCGATCTACAATAGACATTCAAGTTTTACCATGCAACTGAATTCCCTTGCTCTATCTTATTGAGAAAATAGAAGGAGAAACGTGAGATGTGGGGGGAAAGATTACCACCGTGAGTCGTCAGAATAATAAATGCTATTGAAATCTAACACTACAAGTTACACATGCCTCGATATTTGCTTTGTCACACCAGTGTGAATAAGCCGATACATGAGCTCAAACAGATTGTAAACCATTTCTTTGATAGGTAGTTGTGCCGAAAGTATCCTCAAAAACGAACGCGACGAGCCCGCTTACTAGGCGAAGCAGGAACTGGCTGTCCGCCGACCGGGGCTGCAGCTGGGGGTGAAGCGGGCTTGCTAGCTGCAGGAGGGGCGGCGGCAGGAGGGGCGGCGGCAGGAGGAGCGGCGGCAGGAGGAGCGGCGGGAGGGGCGGCGGCAGGAGGGGCGGCGACAGGAGGAGCAGCAGCAGGAGGAGCAGCGGGCTTCCCAGCCGCTGGGGCCGCTGGAGGTGCTGGGGCAGCCGCCGCGGGCTTCGAAGGTGCTGGGGCGGCTGCAGCAGGCTTGGAAGCTGCAGGGGCGGCCGCGCCAGCAGCTGGAGCAGCGGCAGCAGGTTGAGCACCTCCCTTTCCTTTGAGAACACCGGCGGCGGCGCCCAGAACAGTGTTCAGCGGGTTGGCCTGCTGTCCAGCGGCAGCTCCAGCAGCTGGCTGTGCCCCTTTGCCTTTGAGTACTCCAGCAGCAGTGCCAAGGACAGCGCCGATAGGATCTGCGGCTTGAGAGCCAGCAGGAGCCGCGGCACCGGCAGGTTGAGCGCCCTTGCCCTTGAGAACTCCAGCAGCTGTGCCGAGAACAGCGGCGATAGGGTCCGCCGCGGGTGATGCAGCCGGCGCAGCGGCAGCTTGCCTAGCTTCAAGTATCGAACCTTTCCTCTCACTAGCTGCGTTTGCTTTCCCCGGAGCCGCGGCGCCAGTTGTCTTTCCTGCCGCTGTAGCAGCATTGCCTGCACAGTTTCTGAAATTTGCATTAGTTTTCGTTGCCTAACGGGTGGATGATGGTTGTGTTTCCGAGCTTACCCTAGGAGCCCACCAGCCTGTGCTCTTACACACTTGGCATTTGCCTGGCCCTATGGGGAAACGGTCAGCATTACTGAGTGTCTACTGCAATATCCAGCATTGCATTAGGTATCATATTATTGTCGAAGCCATACCGTGAGAGCGCAGTCGAGGTCATCGAAGCAAGTAGCTCCTTGAGCAGAAACGTAAGTGACGCACAAGGCGGAAGCAACGATAGCGAAGCCACGCATTTTGATCTCCACTTCTGATTCTGTTGCTAGTATTTTGTAGGAAATTTTTCAAAATAGAGAAAAAGGTGTAGGTTATCTTGAGGCAATCCTTGAGTAGACTACCACACTTTCCTTGTGGGAATGGACCATGTCGCACTGAAGATACATCTGGTAATTTATATTCACAATGTTCTGCCTTCAGTCCAGCTCCTGCATGTCAATTTGACCACCAGCTGATGGTAGGCAGAACCTTAAACTCATCTTGTAGCCGAGGTAGCCTTCGGCGTGCAGATTTGTGGCACCAGCCACGAATGTAATTTAACGACACTTTTCAGACGTCTCGACATTGGTTTGACCGTCAAACACGCCAGCTCTCTTGTGTAAATCTTGTCTGTGCAAAATACCAAGTGGTTTGGCTTCTGATCACAACAAGCCTAAGCAAGTCAAAGAGCACAAGCCAGGTGTTGCAGCTTCGATAGTCACCGGGGAGAGTATCGAACGTCTGACAGTTGTGAAGGGGTAGCAGTTCGTCTGAACAATTTGACAAATAATAGTTTGCACTGAACTTATCCTGGTACAAGTAGGTATGCACCTCTTTGACCGCGATATGGAGCTGAGACGACCCCTGCGTCGGAGCATTGCCTCGCCGGGGACGTCAGTGCTTGGAACGCCATCTGTGGCAAAGTCGATATTTGTGAAAACGTAGAACATGTTTCCTCGTTGAGATTCTCGTCAACAGGCTTCCACCTTTTCAACCTTTTCGCACAAGGGCAACATGACAGCCACCCTCTTCAAGGCTATCACCCACTGCAATCACAATGCAATGAATACATCTATTGATACATCTTGGATAATAACTGCTTTGTGCGGCTTTCATGTCTCAGCCGATTCATCATTGCTCGAGACGTCTAATAAAATATGTCTAGCTGTCTCATCGTTTCGCAGATGGATTCCAATTATCAACCATCACTCCACTTCCCTTGTAATACTCATGGTACCCATTTTCACAGGAACTGAATCTACCACTAGGAACAGCTATGTAAACTATCCTTTCCAGTCTTTTTTTCTTTTTTTGTCAAGAGGAATGATAGTAAATTAGGTTTTAGGTAGAGAGTAGTACTCCGCCATGAAAGCCTTGTGTTTAACAGTAAGCAAGGTCTGCTGCAGATTCAGTCAATGCCAGGTACAACGAATGGAATTTACTTAGTAGGCTCTCGTTCAAGTTGCGGATGCGAACGCACGGAAAGACCCAGCAAACGTGGAATCGTCAGCTTAGTGGAATGCTGGCCGCTTGCTCAAGCCTTGATCTCATATCACGCATTGTTTCGGTTTGCAATGTTTCCAAAAATAAAACATGCCACAATATTAGACATTGATTATTATTTTGCTGTCAGTGCATCCTCTAGATTTGAAAAATAGGCGGTCTGGGATGTAGAAAGATTCAATAATTAGTTAATTAGATGGACCCATCCTGTCTGCTATATGCCCTCTTACTAACACTGCAAATTTAGTAAAAGTTAATAATCCATATTCTTGGAGTGTGTGTCTGTATCTAGTGTGGCGTATCGCACGATCCATGGTGTTTTTGTAGTGTCCTTCCTTACCTTTAAGCCAAATAGGCCTCTTCAGACTCCTCATCTCGGCACTCGAGTGAAAAGAGAATAGCTGATCTCAACGGCATCACCCAAACACCAAAAGTATTGATATTTTGAAAGCCAACTACACCCCTATTGCGTTCGAAAATTTATAACGGTCATTTTGGAACTATATTGATCTTATCAAACTTGCTAAGGAGTGGGCGACCAAGTATTGTAACTACTAATGAGGACAGCATTTGTAACTCTCTAAGATAAACATCCTAGCTACAGTTTTAGAGCTTCTTGTTTTCAATTGATTTCTCTACCCCAGCAGGTGATGTGACTTTTCTTTCGCCGCAGCCCGCTGTCCCCTATGCGTCCCGTCCTATATGGCGATGCCTTGTTACAATCATTTTTCTATCAGATATCAGATAAGCTTTCTTCAAATTCAAACATTCTCGTACATATGTATAGGCCTTCGACGTAGCGTTATTAAGAGTTGTACGTGGTGACTGGTGAGCAACAATTGATAACTGCAGAAGTCCTGGTGATTACCAATTCGCTTGACAATAAGTGCTTTTCATCTTCTATCGCAACCTCTAAACAGCAATTTAGAAATTTGAGCTTTTCAGTCGTATCTTAATGAAGCGATGACGACTTACAAATCTTGATCAAGAAACCCGGTCATAGGGTATTACAAGCCGGATGATGTATCGCAGGTGGGTTTTCGCCCTGAGTTATTTTCTGTCAGGTTCGGCCCCACAACCCTCCGGCGAAAGTGGCCGGTTGGGATCCACTTCTCGCCGCTTAATTTGGCCGGTGCTTTACAAAGACTGGCAGTAGATGAGCCAATTTGTCATAGAGCAATTGTGAAGCTCTATACCTTGTGTGAAGTGAAATTAGGTGTTCCAGTAACGACTATATATATGTACCATACTCTCACATTCACTCCTATCAGAGACTCAGTATCTTACAACAACATTAACAACTTAATCGCAAGCAAACATCAACTTTCGGGTTTCATCACGGATTCACAAGACCTCAAATACTTACGATGATCGTTGCACTCGTTACTGGAGGAAACTCCGGCATTGGCGAGGCTGTTGTCCGCCAATTAGCCAAGACGCCTGATTTCCACGTTATTATTGGGTCCCGCAATGCAGAGTCCGGCTTGAAGCTAGCTGACTCCCTGAGCCAGGAGGGAGGTCATTCTGTTTCCTCTGTACAACTCGATCTCGTCTCTGATGAGTCTATCTTCAATGCTGTCAAGCACATAAAAGATAATTACGGCAGGCTCGATGTCCTTGTCAACAACGCCGGTATTCTCATCGACCGCTCTCCTGACGCGTTCACCACCACTCGCGATCTCTTCCGCAAAACTTTCGAGACCAATGTATTTGGTACGGCTGTGTTGTCTGAAGCAACTCTCCCACTTTTACTCAAGGCCGAGTACCCACGTATCATCTTCGTCTCCTCCTTGATGGGCTCCTTGGAGGCGTCCCTGGACGAGAGTACCCCTTTCTACAGTATCGACTACAAGGCTTACGATGCCAGCAAGGCCGCTGTAAACATGCTCGCGGTTAACTATGCACGCTTGCTCAAAGATGCCGGTGGAGCTTCTAATGCAGTCTGCCCGGGACTGGTCAAAACGAAGTTAACTGGCTACGACGATTATGGTACGTCTGTTGAGATTGGTGCCGAAAGAATCGTCAGTTTGGCTACCAATGGCCCGGGAGGTCCCACGGGGACTTTCTCAAACCGTCAAGGCCCCATACCATGGTGAAAGAGATCCAATTTCAGCCTATCAATCCATCATGGGTCTGATTGGCGATTCATGTCACACAAAACGACACCGTTGACTACGGGCAGTTTTCAAGGCCTTATATCCATGATGGTAGTTTCTTCTCTTCATTCAGCCTTAACACTCGAAATTGGTCATTTAACTGTCCACATTTCAGAATATTACATTATAGTCGTAGCTAAGTTCAAGAGGTTTCCGATGTTGTCTGCTCCAGAGTTCCAGATGTCCAGCTTTTCTGGGTTGTGCTCAGAATTGGCAGCTCGATTGCATTCCAAAAGTTCCCCAAAAGAAGATATCTGATGTGATGAATTACGTGAATATGAGAGAACGGTCATCTCTTCTTTCCACGCCTCTTGCGTAGAAGCTGACCACTGTGCTTTGTGACAAGGAAGTGGCAGGTCTTTCCAATTTTCAAGTATGTCACAGCCTATGCCTACCTTTACGCAAGCTACCTGTGCGATGAGAAACCAAACACAAGCAGCTCTATTGAATTTGGGTTAGTTGGCCCACCGTGATACCATGTTTTTGTAAGATTATTTACCTCGTGCGGGACTCATTCAATATCCAGTCTTCCCACGAGACAGAGACACCTGAGTCGACAATGCAGGGAGTACCTGTCATTGTCATGAATTGTTTCCAAAATGCCTAGATGTCTGTTAGCCTAATACATCCACTTGAACCTCATTTACGAACCGAGTATGCCAATAGCATTTCCATATTATATTCCCGATGCTCAGTAGAGATAGCCTCGCCGTCCACGGCGCGCATAATGATATAGATGAGCTCTGCCTGTAAAGCTGCGAACACCTCATGTTTGGTATAATTTTGCATCTGTTTCTGTTAGTTTCTGGCTGGAGAGTATAACATCTACAAGGACTGACATGTCTTATATTCCGGATTTGCTCTTCTCGAATTGTCTTCCATAAGAAAGACCTCGTGTCTCTATTTCGCGTGACATATAGCACAGCAATGCTCATGCAATTGGCAAGAGGTTCGGGAATGTGGCTCTTGTCTTGGTATGAGTGTATAAAAGGCGGAAATGATGATCTTCGGGTCATCATATGAGGGTATGAGCGCAGCGTCCTTCTGATAAGATTTCTGGTATTGTCGGCCATGCCATTAATGGCGCATAAGCTATTGAGCGGGAACGATGCTTCCGATACAACAGAAATGCCGGTGAGAGCATCACAAGACATGATGTGCCCATATACATCTGGAGTTAGTGCCATGTGTGTGACACTAAGGTCATCACCCAAAACCTCGAGACCGGGAGCAAAATCAAACTCCAGGTCGGTGATATCTCCGCAAAACGGAGCATTACCTTGGTGCATTGACTGTGTTGAATGGTCCCAAGGTATCTCATTATAGTGAACTAACGACGAAGTGTCGCTGTGGATAAACGACTGGGATGGTGCAGCTTGTAGTATGGGTGAACTTTGAAACGAAGGTGTGGTAACAAGTCTTCTTTGAGTTGTCTTCTCGGGGTAGACGCAGCCAAGGCCTTTCGCTTTGCAACGTGCACAGCAGGGCTGAAGGCTACATTTGCATTTGGCGGCGCTGCATTCTCGGCATGGCTTCGGGCGGACTTGAGGCCGAGTTCTTGTACGTCGGCAGTATGTCAGGTGTCTTTTTAATGCGGCTTCTTAGGAGTCGACGTCTTGTCAGATCGTAGGTGATGATAGATGGACGCATGTTCTTATGGCATGCCGAAAACGTACCTCGTGTGAAGGGCTTACTGCAAAGTTCGCAGAAAGAAACCTCTGGAGCTCCGTTGCTCTGAGTCCAAGCAAGGCCGAAGTCTAGATTCATCTGAACAGAATTTCCTCACTAAGATGGTGTGAAGCGTATTATTGGTTTAGAGACATGAGATATTTTTGGCGACTTCACTATAAGTCACTTATGAAGATCGGTCAACAAGTTTATTGTCCCGACCAGCTATGAAGTAAGGACCTCCCTCGCCAAAAAGTGCTTTCGATAACATCAATGAATCGAATTTGTCAGCGACACCAGACGGCGCAATCCATGACAGCGCGGAGTTAAGCCCAATGTCCGAGCGCCAAACAATAGTCAGTAGCGATAGAAATGGATTAATACTTAATGGCCAGGCATCGCCGAAGGATAATGAATATGGACAAAGTGAAGCGGCAGGGGAAGCGGCACCAGTTAATCAGTGCTTTCCTTTCCCAACGCAACCTCAGTGATAGAAGCAAAGCGCTGATCGACACGCTGACATAACACATAACGCGCCTTAGTCAAAGTCAAAGCCGCCCGGGAAATGGGAAACGACATACGCGTACGGATCCTGAGACTAGCGACGACATAACTTGGCGCTAAAGCTTGGAGCCGGCGGCTAATCAATATTCGCGAAGGCCAAGGTTGTCAAGCTATACAATAGTACCGAGATAACCGACGAATATTCCAGTTATGCTTGGTTCTCTCCTGAACACCGGCTATCTATCCCAGTAAGAGATCAGATGATGGCAATGGGGTCTAGATCCAAACAGCGGTTTGAGTTCGACAGTGCGCAAGGGGGCTGGAGCTGACACTTGCCACCTGCTGTCGTGTCGCGCTCTCAGCAGCCGGATCGACAGGAGCATTTGGCGACGGACAGATAATCAGCTGTTAGACCATGTTTGAGAGGCGGAGCTATCCTGCAATACTTGATGGTGTTGTGGGTGCATGGCAGCCTGATGGAGGTGGTGAGAGTACGGAGTACCCGACCATAGTGTGGCAGGATCGGCGGCTGCAGTTGACGGCGCTGACTAGAGTAAGGTTTAGCACGGGCATCTTGAGCCCAATGGGGGGAAGATGCAGGAGAGCACGTTGGCTTGGTGTTTTGATGGGCGAGCGGTCGGGTACTTCTCTTGTGTTCGTCACACAAAAGACGAATGGTTATGACGCTTGTGGCAGTGAGACCCGAGTGAGAATGGCAATAAGAGCCCAACCTCACAACAGCAATTTGTTTAGGTAGGCCATTAAATCCTGAGGTGGTGCACATGACACGGCCAGGTCCTAAGCTAAAGATGTGAGAAAATTCGTGCGGCCTTTTGCCCCGCGGTCGCCAGTCGCCCCACGTTTGTGTTCATATCGGTCAATCCACCATGACGGGGGATGAACGGTTAACGGCGCTCAGCCAAGCGGTCGGTGCTGGAACACACGACGTCAGGAACCAACAAGGTCTCGGATGCTGGGTAGCAATACAGCAATGGCAAGTGGGCAAGCTGTCCCCGCTTTGGAAAGTGAAGCTGTACGACCTCATCGTGCGTGCATCGTGCATTGGCAGAGACTTACTGCGAAGCGTGACTGAGGGATTCGAGAGTAGGGGAAATTTAGTTACCGACTCACCATCAACGGCCAATAGGCCGGGCTAAACTGCCGACTCACTCGCTATCTGCTCGGTCTCCCTCTTCCCCCCCTATGGCCTCCTCGTGAGTGATCCCTGACAAGCTGATGGGTGGTTTGATGCGGTGAAGAGGGCTGGAAACGGAAGAGGGGATAGATGGATGCTGAAAAGGAAGGGGTATGAGGTGGCGGGATGGCGGGAAGAAGCCGGAGGCCAGATTGGAGCAAGGACCATGGTCAATGACAGAGGTGGTGAATCGAGTGATGAGTATGAAGTGGGCCAGACCCGCCAGGAAATGAATGGAAAGTGGTGGTTCTTGGCCCAACCAGTCGCGTCAAGCCGGACCTGTCAAGGTCAAAAAATCTGCCGTTCCGTTTGGCCAGTTTGGTCCCCTTTCGTCCTGTCCCTTTCGGAAGTGGTCAGCTGCAACGAGGCCCAAGAACGTAAAAGGGGCGCTCAGAGGCTTCCCCGGGACCAATCGCCGGGATGTCGCCTTGTCTTGAAAACGGTCTGGGCTGGTCTTGTTGCCGCCCCTTGGGGGAGAGGAGGGGTGGCTTTCCATCGGCCTCCAGGAAGTGAGGGCGCACGCAAGAAGAGGCAGGCCTCCAAGCCGTCACTGTGACTGCAGCAGCAGCAGCAGCAGATGCGACTGTGAAGGGAGTCAGTGACAGATGGGAGACCAACACCACGCACGATGAGCAGAGTTTCGATCCGATTGCTGGGCGTTGCTCGCCCGTTGACCCGATCGCATCGGCTTTGGCGTCTAACGTGTCTGTCACTGGTTCAATTTCGTATTTCTCAAGGGTAGGTAGGTGTAATTGAAGTATTTCATGTCGATATGCCCCATCTTGTCCCCTTCATACAAGTCTCAAGTCTCCCTTTCCCTTTTCTCCCCGCTATTCCTTCGCTCATCTTAACCAACACACTGTTACCCCATCACCTCTGTACCGGGTACCTACCAGGTAGCGAAATCAGCCAGCTCTTGTTTGCATGCAACACTCTCACCTACATTCACACACCGTCGTATTGGATTTGGCTCCATCGCTGTCACAAAAGATATCTTGATCCGTTTTTTTGCGAGACTTTGTGGGACCGATTCACAATCCCGTCCTCGGCCTCGTCCGCTCGCGGCCCTGTGTCCTGTCACCCAAGCCGGTACTCGGTTCCGTTTAGAACGGTAATGGTGGGGTTGTTTGTGTTTTAAGGGCCGCCTCCTTTTCCCTCACCGCATCGTCGACAGCGCGGGACCTTACCGCCCGAAGAAGGTGCCCAGAAGCGCCCCGTGTGCCCTCCGAACAGCAAAGAAGGTCATTTTGGCGGTGGACTGGGCTTCCTCGGGAACCAGCCCCCCCCTTCTTCCTTACACTAATACCGACGGGGATCCCCTTTCGGCACCCTGGACCTTGTCGTCACTTAAGAAGACGGGAGGCTTCAAAAACCGACCACTATCGCCCGCACCAACACCACCACACCAGGTTGCCGCCTGTGTGTGAGTCCCTCTCACACCTTTTTTTGGTCCAGCATCCCCTTCACCACCTTCGCGCGCATACTTCCCTTTCTTGGTGAAAGAAGCCGGGCAAGTGATTGGAAATCATCATGGCCCTCACGCAGACGGTCACCATCATCAACAACTCGGGCAAAATCATAAGTACCGTAGGTCTTTTTTCTCTGGCACACGTTGCATTCTCCTCCCCACCGCCCCTCTTTCAGACTCCATGTCTACTGCGGTCCGGCCATCGAATTCGGCTGTCGGGCCTGCGTGCGACACTCAACATGCAAGCAATGCAGACGCGCTACCACTATCAGGCGAACAAGACTAGACCAATAGCTGACGTGTCACCTTTTCGATACTGTAGGGAAAACACCTGGCTGGTATCTTCAAGGAAGCCAAGGCATCTTACCAAGAGAAGAAGGCTGCTATCAAGGCCGACCGCGAGGTCCTCAAGCGCGCCCAAACCTTCGACACAGCACGCGATCCTCCTCCCGAGGCCTTCGATCGCCGCTACTCGCACGATGATGGCCGCTCTGTAGCCAGCTCCAGGAGGAGCCATCGCTCCGGACGATACCACGACCACGATGTGGAATACTACCCACGACGGGCCCTGACCGAAAACAACCTCAAGGCACATTCTGAAGTCTCGAGCGTCACGCCATCGAGGGCACCGCCCCCTACCGCATACCGATTCCCCTATGCAGAGACCGCTCCTCGTGATATGGCTATGAGCCGCCCGGCTATGCATCACTATACGACCGCACCGACGTGTAGCGAGAGCCTCGCAGACTCCGCAACAATCCGCGGTTCCATGGTTCCCCGTACCATGTCAGCGCCAGTGACGGCCAAAGGCCACAAGGAGAAAGATATTGACATGGACCTCGCCTATGGCAACATTCCCCCAGACCTGCAAGATCGCACCGACCTGGACCCCTTGACCAAGGAAAAGGAGGCGAAGACTCTTGTCGCCAGGGTCGAGGAGCTTCTCGATGAAGCCAAGTGCGTGCACCACTCAGCCACTGCTACCATCGCCCATCTTCAGGGAAACCCCGATGCTGCCGCGGCTGTCGCTCTGACCCTTGCCGAGCTGTCCACGCTCTTGAAGCAAATGTCGCCTGCATTCTTGTCCGTCATCAAGGGAGGCTCACCTGCCGTTTTCGCACTGCTTGCTTCACCGCAGTTTCTCATTGCAGCGGGTGCGAGCATCGGTCTCACCGTGGTTATGTTCGGCGGATGGAAGATTGTGAAGCAGATCAAGGATGCGCAGGTCCAGAGACAGGCGGCTATCGCCAACGCCATCGCATTCGAGGCTCAACCGGTACCGCAGCCCATCGAGTACGACTATCCCCCGGAACAGTACGATCCGTACGCCCAGCCTCGGGAAGGCAGTGTCGCCTATGAGGAGGCATACGTCCTCGATCCCCGTCTCGATGAGGAGCTTAGCTCCATCGAGAGCTGGCGCCGCGGCATCGCGCCTTTTGGCGAGGACGAGAGCGCCGACATGGAGCTCATCAGCCCTGAAGCCGCGCGTTCCATTCGCGGAGACCCAGATGCCCGCACGGAGCGGAGTTTCCGTACGCACCGCAGCTCCAAGACGCACCGCAGCTCCAGAACGGAGAGAACGGACAGGACCGAAAGGACTGAGAAGTCGTCCCGGTCGCACCGTAGCATGCGCGAGTCGGAAATCCCCGAGCGCAAAAGCAGCATTGCGAGGTCCGAAAAGGATACTGAGAGCGTCGCCAGCAGCCATCGCAGCCACCGAAGCTCCAAGTCGAAGCGCAGTGAGCGTGTGTCGACGCTGGCCATCGAGGACGGCAGCCGCCAGAAGGGGGACGAGGCTATCGAGGCGGTCTTACGGCCGAAGAAGAACAACATGCTCAAGTCTCTGTTCAAGAAGAAGGAGAGGGAGCACAGAGAGAGAGATGAGCGGGTGTCTGCGTTGGTATTTTGAACCATGACGATGAGAGAGACGAATAGATGAAGACAATGAAGAACGGAAACAATGCATATGGCTCGGGCGGTGTTCCCAGCCTAGACGGAGTTGGGATTGTAATGGGTACCATGGACGAAGGATATCATGACGTACGGGTATGCGCTCACACTTGCATTATCGTCAGGAAGTATATATTACCGGAGAAGGAAGCATACTAACAAGCTATTGTTACATGAACTTTGGTTAGGAGTAGAAGATGAAGAAGGTTCAATTCCGACGATAGATATTATTTCAATTTACACGAGATACAGCGTTTTGATCTAACCAAGACTGATCGATCAAGTGGCCGCGGTGACGACTGGAGACTTGGCCATACACCAAAGGATGTGTGTGCTACTATCATTGGCTCTAAGGAGGGGGGGCAGTGCCCCTTGGGGCTAGCCGAGTCATCGCCATCGCCGACCAAGCGGCGTAGGGCTGAATCGAAAATGGGCAAGATTCGAGGGTCAATAATACGCAATCGGCACTATCCAGGTGTCAGCTGAACAACACGGCGCAAACCTACTGACGGCCAAGGACACAATATTGGAGATAAGGGCTTGTTGTAAGGGGGGCCGCCTCCGAGCCTTCTTTTCGTTTCCGGTGTGAGTGAGGCGCATGCCAGCTTTCTCTCCGGCTGTTTCTGACATGACCCTCGAATTTTCACCAATAACATCGTTTCCTGTCCTGCAGCCACAATGCACAATCGCACAGGTTTTTGACATTGCGCAGCTTCTTTGCTTGCTTGAGAGTCGACGCCGGGTCTCGGAGTCGTGTTGAACCAACAACCCATTTCCCCAGCTAAGGACGAACAGAGTAGTCCTCCCTTCCGGCATCCAGCGCCTAGCCAACCCGCTAGACGGTCCCAAGAACCGTAGAGCCGGGACTTGGCTAGGTGCCAGGGCCAAAGAATTGCTTTATCCGTCGTTCTAACATACTTAGACCTAGTGCCTCTTGCTAGGTAGGCCCAGGCATTTCCGTTCCGCTATCTCAGCCTCAGTATATGCGAGCATCCATCTCATCATGGCCAAGAGGAGCCGTTTTTTTTTTTCTTTCGAATGAGGCTCGATACTGTTTGTGAGAACGTACGGGATGGGCTCACAGCCCCCAACTCCGGAGACCCCCCAGCCTTCAACTAGCATCCCGTCCTCCACCTAAAAAACTCTTTTCCGTCATCTCACCTCATCATCAACCCTGCATTGCATTTGAGGTACCAATGGCTTACGTGCGATCCCCTCTTACTTCTCATTCAATTCGGCCCCGCAAGGCGAGGCCGCCATAGCAAGGGCAAAAGGAGAGAGAACATTTGTGTATTGTACGAAGGAGGTAACCCCTGTACCCTACGCAATCGTGGTCATTCTAGTCTCTTAGCAGGATTGCGGACCACCTCTTCCAACGAGACCATTCAAAAAATTGCAGTTGCGGTCGAAGACAGCAGCAAAACAGCCATTACCCTGGTCGACACACGGCTTTACCCGTCTGGAAACAGGCAAGGCATTCCGGCCGCCACATGCAGTCATCGCGAATCACACATACCCATGACCATCAAACAGTCGCTGGCGACGCCCCCAGTCCTGCGCCATCACCTCGAGCTGAGCCAGCTTGGCTGTAGCGACCAACCCCGAAAAGGATATGTCTTTTTTTCCGCATGGTACCAAGGAGATTAAGTGGGCAGAGGCTCGGAGTGAAAGTTCAATCATGTCCTCCTCCATTGCCCACCCGCTACCGAGTACTTACATTCGGACAATAGATGTTGGTGGAGAAGTGCACTTGTCACACCCACCTTTCAATGGTTAGAACTGAAATGGCAGTAGTAGCTGTTTACCCTGGGCCTCCGTGAGATAACACTCAAGCTGTCTTATTAGCTCTTTCTCCTCTTCTTCCTCCTTGCCCGTCCTTCTCTCCACCTATCCTCCTGATCATTGCCCCTTTCAGCAGTAGTTATCCAGTGGCTTTCGTTCTTGTTTTCTTCAACGCCGCTTGCTTGTTCCGAGTTGTCTCCTGGAGATATCTAATACCTACCTGCACCTTACCGGTACTACATCACAGCGAGCTTCCACGCGAAGCGGTGACACCTCCCGTTATCTAGTCATCGCCGGCCACGGTCTGATCTTGTTCATCATCCGTGCCTGTGTCTCCGGGGCAAACTCCTGGTTTTGCCCAACGCACGCCTATTGATGTCCCTACCCGATCGGCATCTCTAGACATGGACGGTCAAGGACTCGGCGTGCGGGAAAATGCCCCTCAAGACCCAACTCACATCCAGATGACCTCGTCGGCAGAATGGCGTCCTGCCCGTCAGTTCGTACGGAAACCAACCACCGCGGCCGGGTCCGCGCCGACAACGCCGGCAGCCATCGGCAGCCCGTTCGCGCCCCACGGAGGAAGCTCGCCGACGGCATCGGCCAAATCACCACAACCATCATTTGCAGAGCGAGTCGCTGGCGCCGCAGGCTACTCCCCGGCTCCGTCTAGTAGCAACGATGCTCCGCCGCACCAGCGACCCCGGCCGGCGCCATTGCAGATGCATCCGGGCGAGTACTCAAACTACTCGAGCGCCTATTCGGATCTCAGCACGCCGTACACAGGGGGCCTTTCGACGGGAGGTCTTCCGCCTAAAAGGCCGAGTCACGCCCGCGTCGGGTCACAGTCTTCAACAGCCGGCCTCCTGTCGCCCCCGTGGCAGGAACCCTCGACCAAGCGGCAGCAGTCAATGTACTACCCACCGGAAAGCGTGCTACTCTACAACAAGTACTGGCACCCGTCGTGGAACATGTACTTCTTCCTGTTTGCCGGCATCGCCTTCGCCCTCGGCCACCACTTCTTCTACGCGAGACTCAATGGCACCGTGGCCGATGGCCAGATCCGCATGCTTCGCTACGGTGCGGCGCTGTCGTTCCTCAGCAAGGCCTCGCTCGCGTCGGCTGTCATTCAGGCCTTCCGGCAGAGGGTGTGGATGACGGTCCGGAGGAAGATGCTCACCTTGGGTGCTGTCGACTCCCTCTTTGCGGCTGCGGAGGACATGACTGCCATTTTCAATATCGAGGTCTTCCGTCAAGCCCGGATCGCAATGATCCTGGCTATTTACGTCTGGTGTACGCCCCTCGTGGTGGTGCTTACCTCTGACACGCTCACGGTCCATCCTGCGACGATGCGCGAGGAAGCCATGTGTCCGTCGGTTCGCACGCTCAACTTTTCGCAAGAGGAGACCAACGACTTTCGAACCACCCCGAAGATCAACAATCTCTTCGAACTCTCCGTGTCCTTGTGGAACAAGACAAGCGATGACCAGTCCGCCGAGCATTTCTTCGACTACTGGATCGATTCGAGCCGCCAGTTTCGGGAGGTCGCCGCGTCTGCTTTCCTGGGCAAGAAGCCCGTGGTAAGAACCAACGCCTCCATCGACATCTGCGGCTCGGGTTACAACTGCACCTTCTCCATCAAGTTCCGGGGTCCCGGATACAAGTGCGAGGAACTGGCCAGCGGCGTGGGAGCGACGCCCAAGAAGCTGAACGGCGCCGACGTGCCGTTCAACATGAGCATGCTCGCACCTGTCGGCAACCATACGTACATCGCCCACGCCACACTAGGGGAGTACCAGAACCCACAGATGGAAGAGACGGAGGCCGGGGGCATCCCGACAATGCCCGCGCCGTACCCGCCTCACCTTGGCGCGCTCCGCACGGAGCCGGTCCTCTTCTTCGGGTACGCCCACGTCGACGAGCCCTCCCTGGATCAGCCGTCCAACAACTCCGATCCCCGCTGGCAGACGGCGTACACCCCCAAGGTGTTTGGCTGCGAGCACCGGGAGACCGAATACGAGGTCGACTTCGCTTACTACGGTTCCCTGCAGAAGACCAACGTCACGAAGCGGACCTTTTTCGATCGCGTCGTCGACACCCGCTACCTCCCCGGAGTCGACGCCGTCGACGGAACGGCGGACAACACGACCGCCACCCCCGAGTCCAACTACATCCTGCCGAAAGACGTCGCCCGATACCGCCGCGCCATGGCGTACCACTCCATCGGCCTGCAGTTCCGCAACGTCATCAACGGCACCATCTTCCAGCCCAACGCCATCGCCAACACCGAGGTCCTCCAGACGCGCATCATTGACCAGCACAACTACCTCGCCGTCAAGGACTTCATGCAAGAGGTCCAGGGCCTCTACGAGGACGTCCTCCTCTCCTTGTTCGCCCAACCACGCCTCCTGGCCGTCGTCTGGGCCAACGACACGAGCGTCAAGACGGGCAACAACAAGGGCGACGACATGTTGTACCGCTGCACCCGGGAGCGCACCGACATCCGTTACAAGTACCACGCCAAAGACCTCTGGGCCGTCTACTCGGTCGCCATCCTCCTCGCCGTCGTCGGCGTGGCCTTTGGCGTCATAGCCGTCCGCGAGGAGGGTCTCGTCCGCAACACGCGCTTCAGCAGCATCGTCGCCGCCACCCGTGGGCCGGGGCTTGAGAAGATACCCTGGGCCACGGCGCCCAACAGCGACCACCGACCCGTGGCGGGTGCCAAGGTCGGCTACGGCCTCGTACCAAAGGACCCGATCCAAGGCGGCCCCGAGACGTACGGCTTCGGCTTGGAGGGGGACGTCAAGCAGCCACAGAGGGAGGAAGCCGGAAGGGCGCCATCAAGGCTGAGCAGCCCGTTCCAGAGGCACACATTCAACAGGAGGTGGTCGAGATTAAACACCCAGTCATAGATGTAAAAGTTTTTGTCCAGCAAATATAATTATCATAGTTCAACTTTAGCATCGCTTCTGGCTTCGAAAAAGTTTCGGTTTTCTCAGCACCTATAGTAGGTTATCTATCATCTGGAGCACAACAACTCTCCCTCTTGGTGCATGGCGCAGATTGACTCACGCTTATGTAACGCCACCGTTAGGCCAGCCATGCACTATTACGCACAATCCCTTTCTTGGAACAGGAACCAAGCTGTGCCTGCTTATCTCATGCCCCTTTCACATCAAGAGGCATGCTTTACCAAAGGGTGTGCCAACAGCCAGGAATGCGTGCAATGAACCATTTGTTTTGTGTGGCTGTTTCGCCCGATATCAACATTAAGCCGTTCAGCGAGTTGGTATATGCGCTCTGCGCAGCTTGGAATTTAATGCAAACGCCCACCCTTTTTGTGTCCCGCCCGAGGTCATCAAAAACGCCCAGAACATGAAGATGGAACCCCATCCAAACCCCTCCCAAACAAATATCATTATGCCCCGATGCAGTTGGTCATTGATTGATGCTGTGTTTCCCCTTCCCCGTCGTAATATACTGGCTTGCGAAAACTCCGGTTGTCCCATCTTGAAAACTCCGTCTTGTCGTGTACCACATTATAAGTCTTCGGCTAAAAGCGCTCTGACCTCTGGCTCATTGAGAAGCTTGCGTTCGCCAAGCTCTGAAAGAGGCTTGCCATCACGGACAGCGCCAAAGTCAAGGATCTGACAAACTTGTTAGCATGACCAACTCATTTCGTCTCCATGGCGAAGAATAAAATAGAGAATAAAAACATACCTCAACATAAGTCAAGCTGTCACGCTGGACAGCAGCAACACAGCGCCGCTCATCAAACTTGACCTGCCAAACTCCGCTAAGATCGGTCAGGAGATCCTGCACACACTCGCCGGTGCGAATGTCCCACATCTTGACCGTCTTCTCACTTCCTGAAATAACCTTTCGGCCATCGTGCTGGAAGCATGTAATGGCGCCAGTATGGGCCGTCAGGACATTCTTACACTTTCCGTTCTCCGGGTCCCAGATGCGCAGAGTGCTATCGGCGGCTGCCGACACCAGACGTTCGTCACGTAAGTCCAACAAACCAACAAGCAAACTGTGTCCTTCAAGGGTATGCAGGCACGCTCCCGTATTCAAGTCCCAAATCTTGACTAAAGAGTCCATGGAACCTGAGATGCAGCGGTTACGCTCATGGTCAAGTACAACGCTGTAGACCTTCTGCGAGTGGCCGTGAAGAACGTGGAGGGATTCGCCAGTGCTGATACGCCAGACCCTGACTGTGCTGTCGTAACTGCCACTGACAAGAGTATCGCCGTGGGCGGAAATAGCGCGGACCGAGTGGGTATGCCCGGAAAGTGTCCGAATAAAGTAGGGGCAGTCGGCATCATTCGCCGGGGGACCGGTCTGGATGTAGCGGCGAGACCCAACCTCGGGCAGGCGCCAGACGCGGAGCTGGCTGTCGCGAGATCCCGTGATGATCAGGGGCTTCGGCGGCATCATGATAGACTTACCATCATGCCCTTTGCCGGTCTCGGTCGGCATCAGAATCTGCAGGCAGCGAACAGTGCTAGTATGGCCGTAGAAGACCTGAGTACAAAGACCCTTTTCGATATCCCATACCCGAACAGATCGGTCGGTCGATCCGGACACAAGCATGTTGCCTTCGTATTGCAGTGCCCAGACACCACCCTCGTGGCCCTCGAGCTTCTTGCGAAGCTTGCCAGTCTTGGTGTCATAGACGTGGATCAAAGTGTCGTCACTTCCGGTAATGATCTTGTCCTCGTCAAATTGCAGGCATGTTATGACATGACGAGGGTGAGCGGCGAAGGCAACATGACCGGGCTTCACCTTTCCACTTGTCCAACTTTGCCGAATCATGTAGTGGCGCCGGTAGAGAGACTTAAAAAGGTGCAGTTTCTGAAGTCCTGGAATACTCGTCTTCGGGTTGGGCACAGCAGCCGCAGCGGCATTAGCAGCCGAAAGCGGCCCCTCGGACTTGTGCTGCTTCACCTCTGACTGCATGGCCTCCAAGCGAGCGGCGTCCTGGCCGCTAGCCCTGCGCTTCGACCGGTCGGCACTTGACATGTTAAGGGCCCGCTTGCGCTTGGAGCTCCGGAGCTTGATGGTTGAATCGTTCTTGACTGATTTTGTGAGCTCGTTGTCAGCCGACTCGAGCCTGCCCAACGGTCTCAAGTCAACCTCTGCACCAGTGACACCAACAGGATCTTGCCAGCCCCAACCCTGGACGATGGCTTTATCAAGTTCGCCGGGGGGGAGCGTGAAGCCATCACGGTCGAATAGCTCCTTCCATCCGGTTTCGTTCGTATCAACGATATTCCGCCAGTGCTTCGAAACTTGCGCAGCTCTGCACAGGTCGCGATGGTCGAGGAATGACAGTACATGGAAGCTCAGCTCGAGAGGGAGTTGCTTTAGGAAATCGCACTTCAAGGCGGGGGTGACGACATCGGCGACAAGCCGCAGGGTCTTTCGAGGGCAACGACGGAGTAGGTTGTACATGATGAAACTCTTCATCTCGTTGGGCATCGAGTCAAAACCCTCCATCATGGTGCGCGCATTCATCATGGCGGTGTGGGCATCAAGGTTGTCGAGTGGATATGTGCTGTCATCGGCAACGATGGACATGTCGGAGACGTAGTCACCCTCATCGGTGATCTGTGATTCATTCAACCACGATTGGTTCCGGAAGCTGACATTTCGTCTGGCCACAATGCTACTCTGCGGCGACCCTGCATCCTCGTCATCCGAGTCTCTCGAGTTCAGCTGGGCGGCGGCGAGCGTCGGCGAAAGTCTCGGACTAGGGAGGCTCGCATCCTGCGCAGCCACGGCATCGATGGAGGGCCGGTGGCCAACGGCTCTGAGGGACTGCTGCAGCGACTCATCGTCCACAAAGGGCTCGGGGTCGGCATCGGTAATGGGCGGAGTAGCAACGTTACTGCTGAAAACAGTGACGGCATCGCTGCCGATGGGACTGGCGGCCTCCTGCAATGTTGTTTCGCTCGGACCCGATTCGGGGGGCGTGTGGCTCGCGCGGTTAAGATGAAGAGATCGGGGTCGGGTAGTGCGTTCGGAACTGGACCCGACGACCTCAGAAGTGTCTGGGGTGGCCAAGTAGCCGCTTTGCTTGCCCTGGGTGAGCTGACGTCGAAGCCTCTGGGAGTGGTCTTCAGGGAAGGTGAGTCCAGTGGGCCTGGGGTTTCTCGACGGCCGCGAGGGCAAGACGGGGGATGGATTGTAGGACGGCGAGGCCTCACGATGATTCGACCGACGCGATCTCCGGTGATGGGCATCTGAAGTAGACTTGGCTGTGCGTTGGGGGGATTCTTGACTCGACTCGTCTTCTTTGAGGATGCCTGAGGGTTGCCTCTCGGCAGCAAGCGGTGCATTGCGCTGGAAAGGCGGCCTTGTCAGCAAGTGAAGCAGCAGAGAGGGAGGAGGCACGACGGGCGAAGGGATCACGTACCTTTTTGTAGACGAAGGGGTTATCGACCATGGCATCGGAGGAGGAGCCGGTGACACTGAAGGAAAAGTTTGCGAGTTCGGGAGGCAAAGGCTTGGAGGCGAGAGGGTATTCCTTGGAGTCGAGCTCGTGGAGGGGACGAACCTCGCGCAGGTAGACGGGGGGGAAAGTGCGTTTGGTTGTCGTCGTCGTGGTTGTTGTTGTGGTCTCTATGCATTCGGAGACGGCCAACTGCAGACTTGTCGAGTCGGTTCCATGGCTTGATTTGCTGCCCTCGTCGACGGAGAAGGAGACGGTCTGGCTGGAGCGAGGACGACGCACCTCGGTGGTGTTGACCTGGGGTCCAGGCGAGGGCGTCATGATGCCTCTCGAAGTACGCGGTGGAGGTTATTGAGAGGTAGCGAGTAGTGATGGTGTGGCAGAGGAGAGACGGAAGTGATGGTGGCGGGGGAGTATGGTCGCGGTCGGGGGAGGGGAATGTCGAGAGGAGAGATTTCGGCTCAAGATCGGGTGCAGGGCGGGATCAGGGTCAGAGACGAGGAGGTACGACAGTAGTAGTAAAAGGCGACGGTGGACCAGGTTTGAGAATTGAGGGTTGGGAATTTCAAAGGTGGCGGGCGGGATTAGGTACAGTACAGTCGCAGGTACGGGGCGAACAGTGGGCGTGTACTTCCTACTAGGTGAGTAGGTTGGTTGGTAAGTAGTATAGTAGGTACTTGTGGAGGTGGAGAATTTTTGGAAGCGATGAAGAAGAAGAAGAAGAAGAAGAAGAGAGCGAGCGCGGCGGTACGTAGCGACGGCAATAGTGCCTAGGTAATTAGGAGGGAGGAGGTGCGACTCGCGTGAACGCTGTGCAGATGTCGCGTTAGTGCTTTTCCTGCCTGAATGGGCCCCTGGTGTACCAGAGTGAGGCAAGGTGGGTGGAGTGTGTATGTGCACGGCACAGCAACAACTCACAGCACATACACCGCAACCCTGTCGAGGAGAGCCTTGAGCAAAGGGGAGTAAGGGGCAAGAGAGAGAAACAGAAGGAGAGAGAGAGTGCGCCCGAGACAGGAGAGCGTGGGGCGGAGAGGGACAAGAAAAAAAAAATAGAGGAGGCGAGGCAATGCAAGGCAAGGCAGGTGTCGGTCAATAACGCGGTGAGACGAAGACGGTCGGCGACCGGCGCGTGGGGGGGACGACAATGAACAAAGTCGGCAGAAGAGGATGACGGGACAAGTGCCGGAGACGGAGGGGGAGGGTTGGAATGTCAAAGTTCCAAGGCTGAAGAATGGAAGCCTGAAGGTTTCCAGAGTCGAGTCGAGTCCGAATCGAGAGGCGTGTGAAAGCAAGAATGTGGAACCCGAGACTTGAGACCGAAAAGTGAAAGCGATGCCGAAGGCTGATGGTCACCTTCCCCCCCTTCTCCTTTCTTGTTTGGGCCTGGGTTCGGCTCAGTGTCTTTTTTTTTCCTCCTTTTTTTCTTTTCTTTTTCTCGGTTCAGGGAGGTTTAGTCGTCTCGAGGGTTCCCCTTCTTTGAGAGTGCACGTCAACTGTAAGGTGGCAGTGCAGGTAGGCAGGTTTGCAGCATGCGAGCAATCGATACACATGAGAAACACATACACTACACCCATAGGGCACACAATACTTGTACAGACAGACAGACAGACAGACAGACAGACACCCACAAAAAGAGAGAGAGATAGAGAGATAGAACGGAGAAAGAAGTGGCTGGGCTTGAGCTTCAGGGGGCCTGCCTTGTCTGAACGATGCACGCTGGCCTGACTGGACCAGGACTGTATGTATTGTATGTATCACAGCGCAAACACGATAAGTGGATCGTCCGCAGCTCAATCCTGGGTTGACTACGTACTACACGTAGACAACGGGGGTAAGCGGTGGAGCGACCGAAACCAAGATCGAGACGGAAAATGGGGGAGGGAAATAACGGAATAAAAATAAACTCCACCGCACTCGTGGCTTGCAGGTACCGCTTCCTGCAAAACCAGGTGCTGGGATACACGGCCCCCCCTTCCTCCCTCTCGAGACCTACCTTCGACGAGTAGCGGCCTCCACTTCTCTTACTTGACAACGGAGAGCGTCACTGGGCAGTGAGTGGGCACCTCTTAAACTGGGTTGTGTGTTGGTTGCAGGGCGGGCACGGAACACATACAACAAGTAGGTAGTAGCTAGCTACATCATCTCGACCACGACCTTGGTGCCTGTTGCGGGAAGGAAACACGGGGTTTCCAATCATTGTCGGGGCAAGGTCGATCAAGCAATGCAATTCTCCGACGTGACTCCCGAAGATATCCCGTACTCGAATCCCCCTCATGATGACCGTTCCCTTACGTCTCAACTCCCCGACTTGTCTCTCCTTTCTCTATCGTGCCAGGTGCGCGTGCTGGTCTTCTCGAGCGGAGAGTGGAGGGGGAAAGTGGATGCCCATCACATGATCTGTGCGCGCACTACATACCCGTCCACAGTACCTCATCAGCTTCGCCAGTCAGTCTTGGTAGGTACCTAGGCCTGCGTAGACAGGCATGCAAGTTACGAAATACACTGCCGGTACAGACTGCAAGCTTGGGCAAGGTGCCTGTGAGAAACCGGCTGTGGTGTTTCTTATTTTATTTTATATATTCTTATCTTCGACTTCATTTTTATTTCAAACCGCGTGTGGTAGGTACCTTACCTACCATCTAAGTCCCTACCTGATCTACCTGTGTACACCAAGATGGATTCTTTGCCAACCAGCCGCTGTCATTGGTGCTGGCCTCCCATCTCCTGTTCAAAAGCGGGGTCGTTGTCTGCGATAGCTCCGCGAGTACCAAGACCCTTGTTTCAAGCGGAAAAGGTACTTGTCTCCAGAACAGACAAATCACGTACCTCGGCAGTGCTGTTCGCGCGGGCTCCTATCCGATTTCTCTCTCTACCACCTTTTCCTTGCTGTCTCCCACCAAATCATGCATGCCTGTCTGTCTCTGACCTTGTTTTTACGCCCAGAGCAAGCACGGAATTCTTTCCCCTTGGGCTAGCCTGCGTGTCTGGTCTACACTGCATTATTCCAAAGAGAGACCAGTAGAACCCCCATCGCCATTCCGGATGCCCAAACCATGAATTGTTCCCCTTGTCGGGCCCGGCCAGGTAAATGTTCGAGACCTCGTCAAACCCAGCCCCTCGGTCCGCTGCCCACCCACCATTCCGATATTCTCATCACGTCAACGCCACAATAGCACGCTGGAACCCGCCTGGCCCGCCCGCCATGGCTGGCCTGGCTGACCTTGGCCTGGCGGCCCAGTGCCTTGTAGTGTAACCCTCAGCCCACTGATCCACCGCTGATCTCACACCACTGAGAAACTGATAAGGGATCGCGTCTTCCACACGAACGAACGCGTTGCCTGCCCGTGTCTCGTCTCGCCCAAAGCGCCGCGCGCAGTCTCGAGAGGAATGCATTGGTCCCCTGCACCTCGTGCCATCCACCTACTTTTCCAAGCTTTCTCCTTTCCTTTTCTCGTCACCAAGGGACCGACGACGCCGGCGGCTGCCCAAGACATTTTTTCTATTGTCATCGGGCCTCGCAGAGTCAAGACGGCAATAGACGCCACCAGATACCAGTTAGCTTCGCCAGTTCGCAACCAGCCGCGCACAGATGCGTGCTGTAAGGCATTGGACGACATCATACTGCCCCGGCGCCGGCGCCGGCGCCTGGCGGCGTTAAATGCATTGTTTGTTCAGGATGCATAGCAGCGCGTAAGTAGGTTGCGGCTTACGTGATGGGCTTCTGCTGGGTTGCGAGTGTTGTGGCGTTAAGTGACATAGAGGACCCCTTCTGCGCCACGCCGCGCTGGGAACTGTACCATCAGCGCTTGTGTCGGTCTTCGACTTTGATACGCGTTACACACACGCTTTTCCATCGCACGCCAGACCCGAAGCTCTGCCCGGCCGTAAGCTCTTGGCCAGCCGCGGGGCGCCACAACAATTTTTGACCTCGACTGACAAACTCGGCATATAGGGGAATTCATCCTCTGGCCTTCGCTTCCAACTTCATCCATCTTACTCTGGCCTCGTCTCGGCGATTACTCGTCAGCAGATCACTGTCTCTACGTCGCTTAGGCTTTCACGCACACACGCAGACACACACCGTCGCGTCGGCACATGATCAGCCTAATCACCCTAACCTCCCTCCCCTCCGTCGCTCCTTTTCTTCTTCCTTCCCCTGGGTCTGTTTGCCGCTGCCCGCACCGATACGGCGTAGCGCCTTTTCTGTTATCCCCCACCCCCCGCTTCACCGGAGCACGCCGAGGGAGCCAAGGAATATCAAAGGCTGCAACCACTTTGCAGCTCAGCACCCGCCGCCTGCATGTCCGTCTACCTACCTTGACTACTGGGTGGGGGACGAATTAGGTGTGAAGTTCGGCGTCGCACAGCGTCACGCTGGGAGTCGGACCTAACTAACAGTGATGGACCCCGCCTGTTGACCATAATGGCCCCATTGCCGTTCCTGAACCTCTCCGGCTTGCGTCTTCGGGACTTGTCTGGCCAGCGGGCATGGCTCCCGTCATCGAACGTTCAAATCACAACTGTGGTCATTTGAGATGTCAAGGTGAAGTCATCCCATAAAGCGTCATCGTGAAAATGCCAAAAATCGTCATTCGTAAGTACCTAGGAGTCTGTCGTCATAGTAAACCTCTATATATGGCCGTAGTAAACCGCTCGCTCGCTCGTAAGCTCCAAAAAAGAAAAGAAAAGAAAAGAAAACGAACATACACAAGCCAATGACCGCCAACAGATGCAGTTTTACATCCGAGAAGCGTGTAAATGCGTAGAAATGACGGCAGATGGTTTGTGACCGCCCACCCGCTCTTCGCTTAACTTATGCGATGTAGATTGGTAAACGGCTGCCCAATAGCTCACTCTTGGAAACCTGGACGTCCTTCTTATGAAAATCGTGCAGCATGAGCCAACAGATCATCCGAAAAACCAGGGTGCACCAGATATCCCCGTACTTGATGTCCTCGTCAGGCAAGTCATGCAAGACGATTTGTTCCTCGTCGTCGACCGTGTCCGCCGTCAACGTGCTGAGGTTCGTCTGGTTCCTCCGCTTCAACCCACCAAAGCCAACGGTCGGCGCCGCGGGGGAGATTGACGCTCGCCTGTCTTTCGACTCTTTGGACTCTGCAATGACCTTGCTCCGGACCACACGAAAGTACACCTCCATGAGCTTGTATTGCTTGAGCTCCGGGGCCGCAGCGTCGATGTCCTCGAAGCGGAGAGGTTTCGCCTTGTCCTCCAAGGGCTGGTTGCCGCTGAGGGGTTTGAGCGCCGTCGCTTTTTCCGTCTTTTCGTTAAAGCCAGCAAGAACCTCCTGGATGTGACTTCGCAGCACGTCCTTGACCATTTCTTGGCGAGTGCTTTCAAACGGCATGACGTCGGAGGCCTCGGACGGCTGGGCCGATTTACTATGGAGTTTCTGCATGCCAGACGTCGTGGTGTAATTCCGGGTCATTGCGGCTGGCCGAGATTCCCTGGGCGTCGCCGTCAAGATCTCGTCCATGTCATCGAGTGCCGAATGCAACGCGTCCATGAGAGGTAAGGTAGGCCAGCCACTCTGTTCCGAGGTCGTGATGTGCTCTTGTATTTTCCGAATATTCCTCCGAATAACCTTGCCGACGTCGCTCGTGGCATATTGATGGTCTTTCTTCAGTTTGTTCATCTGCATGGCGTACGCCTCGAGGAGGCGGGTCAGAGAGAAGTTCTTCGTATCCCATCGATAGTGGGTGGGGTTCGGTAGCAGACGAAACGCGCTCTTCTCGATGTGAAGCGTGCGAGCCAGCATTCCTATTATCTCGAAAGCAACTGTAGAGGAACATCGTTAGATGAAAGAACTCTGTCCGGTGCCGGAGGATCCGTGCTTACCAGGAAACAGATGCCCAGTTCGCGCAGTTGAATTATCGGCAAAATAGTTCACTGTGTTTGTGTTACAGCCGATGAGGACCAGCGTTTCCGCGATTTCGCGGTTGCTGGAGAAGTTCAGAACAGACAGGTCTCTGGGTTCGTCGTTGGGGAACTGCAGCCGCCGACCGTCCGATGCTGACCGGTAGATGGTCGGGACGAAGCCGAAGCAGAGTTCCTTGGTCTCGTCGACGGGTATGACACGGTTGCCCTCAAAGCGGCTGTGCCCGTGTACCTGGAAGGTGAACATGATGCCGAGGTCGCTGACCTTCTCTCCCGTTACTGTGTAGCCGTTGCCTTCAGCGCGGTACCTGTCATTGGCTCTGTTGAATTCAACCCAGTATACGCCAAGCATAGCCAGCATCTCGATAATATGGCACCACGTGGTGGTGGCATAGGGCTTCTTGACATTCGCAGGCATCGTATCCCAGCTTCTGAGTTTCCTCTGGATGGCGACCGTCAGAGTATAGTTGTTACTGACTTCCGTGAGCACGGCATCAATATCCTCTGGTTTCTCGGCCTGGGCAGCCCCTTTGGGCGGACTCTTGAAGATCTTGTTCTTGTACTGCTCCTTCTGCCATTCTCTGGAGTCATGTTCCATCTTTTGTAGGGCAGAGAGAAGCGTCACCCATGAAGCCCTCTCATTGTCGGCCGTGTGCACAGACTGCTTGATCAATTCCTTGTCAGATACATTCTTTTCCTTGAAAATTGCCTCCGTGATCTCAGACCGACTTTCCCGCAGACTGTTTTCCGACCCATCAATGAAGATGTTTTTCTGGCCCTTGACAGGGCCTTTCGTATTTGTCGGAGGGCATAGGAAGATGACGGGGGTCTCGAACTGCACCTCGAATCGGAACTCGGTAAACTTGAGGCGTCGCTTCTTGGACTCGGACCATTTCCCTATGACTTTGCTCCCACAGCTAGAGTAGCCGGCGGCGGACGCATAGTATTGCTGGGCGACCTGGAGGAGAGCTGCGATGAGGGCGACAACGGATATGACCAGAGCAGCAACAGCGACGAACAATTCCTTGTCATCGTCGTTAATGTTGCTGTTGATGACCTGGAGCGTGCGGTTGAATTGGGCTTCGTCCATGCCGTCCATAGCCGTGCTCCGCGGTCAGGGATTGTTCTCAAGGTATTGCTCTCCCGGTGTTGTGCCGCGTCACGTCCTTGGTATCTGAAGCTGGCGGGCAACTAGATGTTCTGGAACCTCCGTCTTTTGTCAGGTTACTTGCAGGCAGCGTTCAAAGGTGGTGGGTTAACAGAGTCGACGGAAACCAGATCGAGAGAGCACAGGTCAAGAATGGCGGGCGGATATGGCCAAGGTCGGAGAAGAAGCCATGGAGGATTTGATGTACTCCAGCACTCCAGCTTCCTGGAAGATCAGCAGGCCCAGCTGAAAAGGCCCCAGAGACACAGAAGCAGGCCTGACGTGTGTCGAAAAGTGAAGAGACAAGGATGGAAAAAAAGGGAAAAAAGACACAGAGAGAGAGAGAGGCGTAGATGGACGAGGCTCTGCATGTTAGGCTAGCGTATAACGACAGCACAGCCTGAGAATCGTACGCGAGAAGGGGATGATGTGCGGCGCCGGTTACGCAGTCAGTGACTTTCCAGGCGTCTTCGGCACCCAGCCATCCTCCCATTTTTACTTCAGCTGGGTGAGGTATTCTTTGGTGGTCTGCTGCTGGCTAAGCCTACCCCATCGTCAACCCCTGCGTCTGCATGGCCCCTTGTCTTGCTCAGTAGCCCTATCGGTCGCTAGTTCATCGCCCATACGGGGCTATTCTGGTGTAACGTACCTAGGTACAACAGGCAGCGGGATTTTGAGGGTAGGGAGGGGGTGGCTCCGCTATTGCTGTTTGAACGGAGATGTATTGCTAGAGGGGCGCGGTGGACAATAATGGCGATGATGGCGATGCAGTCGCCATGCATGCTGTATGGAGTATGTATGTGCAACGCGAGGCATGTTGACGTGTCGTGATTAAGAGAAGGATTTGGAAATCAAAAGACGTCCAAATCACCCCGGGGTTTTTTTGTTTTTTTTTTAGTGGCTTTCTTCCTATTCCTTCTCCCGGGGGCGGCAGTGCTGTGCTGTGCTGTGCAGTGCTGTGCTGCGTTCCTCGGGAAGGCAGAAGGCAGAGCCTAGGAGCGGGCCGTCACTCGAACTATAGGTCGGCCGACGAGATGCGATGCGATGCAGGTGGGTGGGCGGTGCAAATAGCGCGGAAGACACGGCATGGTGTGTCGGCGAGCTAACGCCAGTGCTTGTTTTCCCACGTTTCCTACCTGTCAAATGGTAAGCTCAGCTCAGCAGCAGCCAGATGACAAGCTTCCGTCCCAACCTGCTCCGCTCCCCACACTTCACACTTCCCACCTAAGCCTCTTTCTCCCCTCTAGCGACTGGGCCGCAGAGCGGGCGTTTCACTCCCGTTGATCGTTGATCTCGGAACCAGTCCTTCTTACAACCATCAAGGCCAAGGCCAAAAAACTGCCTCATTCAATACCGCTCCATACAGGTAAACAAACGAAACGCCGCTGTTGGCTTATACATCGGATGGGAAAGCGAGAGCTGTCAGGCACACTGGCCTTGACAAATGGCACTCTTTTGATGTAGCATTTTGCTCGACGTCAGTTGCAGACAAAGCCCCTTCTTACTAGCTCAGCAACTCTAGAATCAAAACATTAGCCAACCTTATATTTGCTTGCGACTTCTATTTCATATACTTGTTGTCCAAGAGTAATCATTGTCATCCTGGCCCGGCAGCCGTTTGGGAGTTGGTTCTGTATGATGGCAGGATACCGCTTGATCAACCATAATGCAAGAAGCAGATCTGCAAAAACCAGGCACCCGGCCGTGTCACAAATACCAACGGTCTAATGCTCGCCGGCGGCGCGCCGGGCAACTTGAATGACTGGACAGCCCTGCGCAATTCTGAGTGGAGCCATGGCGAGTGCAAGCCGTACTTCCGAACGCAGTTCGCGTCGCAATTTCTCGTGTTGAGGTGCTGATTACGTCGAGCCGGCATTGAGATTGACAAATGCTCACAAGCTACCTTTCACGGTTGCATCGGTCTGAAGAAACACCATACAAGGCACGGAATACCCCTGGTGCGAGACATGCCGGACGTCGGCGCTTGTCTTCGAGGCTGGGTTGCCTTCAGCATCGCCCGCATCGTGATGCTAATGTATATGCTGGCGGAAAGGTCTCCTGACTTCATCAAGAGCGGTTGTAAACTTAGCTTTTGAGGCTAACGTCACTTATGGGGGCTGGCGACAGCGTAGACCTGACAGAGGAAGCATCTCGCATTAATGGTCATCAGTTGGCTTCTTTCAAAAAAATCAAAAAAAAAAAAAAAAAAAAAAAAAAAAAAAAAGAATTGTATCTCGAAGCGCAGTCCTTAGAGCCGCTTTATATACGCATCCTCAATTAACAAGTTTAAGTCTCCCCCACGTCCGCCATCCACTCACAAGAGGTGCTCATTGAACCAAGTGACGGCCTGGAGAAAAGCGTTCTCCTTGGCGTACTTCTGCACCTTCTTGCTCAGGTCGCAGCGGACGGCGAAGCCGTGCTCGACGCCAGAGTAGAGGTTGATCTGGTAGGGAAGGCCCGTCTTCTGCAGGATCTCCTCGGACTTGTGGCGCTTCTCGACGGGGAAGATGTTGTCGGTCTCGGCGGCAGCGATCGAGAGGGGACCGGTGATGGCAGCAAGCTCCTCCTCCTCGACGAAGCTAGGGTGAGCGAGGTAACCGACCTTGATGCCGTCCTTGAAGTG